CAGTTAGTTTTGAGGATAGCGATAAGGCCTTAGCTGCTTAACCAGACTTGGACAGTCACTGTGTCATCCAGACAATCACTGTAATGAATAAAAATCATTCCTATTATTCTTATTTGTTTAAAAAAATCGTTAAAAAAAATTAAATAAAAAATAACAACGTTATAAAGATCAACAATGCATGCATAATGAACATAATCGAAATATTAAATAACAAAAAAAAATCGTACACAACCAAAACTATCGATAAAATTGTATCGAGGCAATAACACTAACTCATCCCTAATCCCTCTGGAAATCAAAAACAAACGCTGAAGGGTTACAAGACCAACTTTTAAATTCACTAAAAACAGGGCAAAATGTGCCTTAAAGCAATGAAAACACGGTTATAATTAATGCATATAGATTTTTTACGATATACTTCCGTGAAAGTTACGATAAACCAATTAGGCGCTTTCTGTGTTCACGGACGATATTACCCAGATCTTTAGGAAAACAGATTAAATGGGCACACAGGTAGGTGAGACAGGTACACTGCAAGCAATACAAACATTAATTACTTACTTCAACCTAAACCTAAATAAAAATCAGACTAGCTAAAGAATATTTTGTCGGAATTTTAAATGATAAGTTCAAAGTTGTAAGTACATAGGTACTTTTTTCAAGAAACGCCGACGTCTCCTTCTTCAATTTTTGCTTGGAAGTCATCAATCGACACAATGACATGGTATGTAAGCCATTGCGGAAAGCTGCGAGCTATACAACTTCACGCTACGATCACTAGGAGTCGAGCAAAAATCGTATGGGATTAACAAGAGTAATAAATTTTACCTACCTCTACATTAAGTAAAATTTTATCAACATTAGGTGAAATTTATTAATTGCCTTCACCTCGAGCCGCGGAAGACTTAACGGGTTGCTCCGACTCGAAGTGCAGGAGTAGGAACGGGGTGGTTTTTAGTCAGTAAGAGTCTGACACTCCCTTCCGCCTCACCCGGGCGGGAGAAATCATTGAATGATTTTACGCTTGACGACTTAATAATTAAGACTCGTGTTCTACAACTTCTATCTCCGTTTCTAAACACGTTTAGTCGATAACATTTCTCCTAAATGTCAATTAAAGTCGATAAAAATATTACAGAGATTACACGCAATATCCATCACTATATCAGCAGTGGAAGTATTTTATCATTATTTTCCTTTAATACCTGCCTCTGTCCACGGCATCGGTGTTATATTTATTTGCAACATAATTATCAATTTGAGGAAAGCAAACATATTGTCGATCCAGTTAAAGCTACCTCGGGATTATGACCAAATACTATTTTATGTTCTGCCTCATTGGCCGAGTGGTCGCAATTGCGATTTCCGGGCAAGGGGTATCGGGTTCGATTCCCGGGTCAGGCAAAGTATTTCTGGGTTTTTTAAAAATCACAGCGATTGCACGGAGTCTGAAAATGAGCCCGGTATATGGTAGTGGGCTCATCCCCTATTACATTGTACACAAGCATTAAATACCGTAATGTGTACCTTGCCTACGCCTTCGGGGATAAAAGGCGTGATGTTACAAACTATTTTATGCTGTTACTCTAAAACTAAGAATTTGAAATTCGTGACATGATAGCAGCCAGCCCCACAGCAACATACGTCAGTTCATACAGAGCAAGAATGAGCACCGAACACCAAGCTTGGTATAATGGCTTTAGGTAATAGGTTCGTATTATTAGGCCATGGTTGGTACCTATACCTCGTACTGTCTAGATATTATTAACTTTGTAACAAAACAATGACGGTAAACTCAGTAACTTGACCTTAATGTGACCTTTTGATGTTTTAACCCTTCATTAGGAGTAGGTATGTCCTTACGTTTTCCCTTTTAGCAGTCATTTATTAGGATCCTTTCACATAATTTGCACCTATAATACTTGTTCTTAATTAAGAAGTTTGACTTCTCGTTTTGCGTCCAAATTAAAGCCTTTTTTAAATGAGAAAGAGACTTGAACTATTCACGAACAACTTTATGTACCTACACCTCTGCCTCTACCTCTTCGGAGATTAGGTAAATGGCGTAATAAGTGTATCATTTTAGACAGCGTAAAATATATTTGGAAATAGCGAATTTATTTCAATCGCTCCTTATTTTATAGCACATAAAATCCTTCATTTATACAAGTGGCCAGTTAGTGGAATACAAGCGGTTTACTGCCTACACTTGTTGACGAGAATAAATTGAAATTATCATTGGCCATTGACCCTTCAGTGTCAAGACTTTTTGCTAAGGTTCATGCCTACCCAGTCTACCCACTTCTTAAGTCATTTAATCCACCTGTACACAAGCATGCCCTAATGCCACTAAATTAGTGATTAAGGTGTTCACAAAAACTTATATGTATGGAACTAGTAGTTCATATTAACTGGTCTAAGTAGATGTGTTATTACCCTACTATGTTCCACCGTGTACCTACGATGTAGGTACATGTTTCCAGTCGATAATTAAATTGTAATTTGCCTGAAAATCAAACAAGGAAAATGTGTCAGTTATAAATGCTTTTGTGTATTAATAATATCGTAACTAATAGGTAACAATATAAGTTGCAGGACCACTCACAGAATAAATAAATACACGATCCAATTCACGTAACTTATAATTTATATTCAATTAGGTCCTACTTGGTTATTTTGCTGCAAACACAGTTGATTTGATTAGCCCGTCATTCAAAATCTTTATATATCTATACATTTAATACTTACTACAAAGATATATAAAATTATATTAACATTTCTGATAAAAATAATTTAGCTAATTGCTACCGCAAGAACGCGTAAAATGGAAAAAGTGTAACTTCGTATTCTTCAGGAAATAATGAACAATTAAAATTGTTGACGGAGGCTTACAATACAAGACATAAAAACAAAAAAAAATAGTAAGTTGCGCAACAAAGTGCAGTTAGTACTTATACCTTGTGTTTTTATCAATGTACTATGTGACATGTCCCAAACAATATCCACCTAAATAAACGGGTGTTTATTAACTGCAGTATCTACCACTATTACAAAGAACATGGGAAGTTTGTGGCATAAATTGTTTCTCAAAAAGAAACTAAGGCCGGTTGACATCAGTATGCCTACAGATATGAAACAACATATACATGTGACAAAAAACGAAGAAACTGGCCGTCTGGAAGGTTTGCCAGAATCCTGGGCAAAAATTCTGAACCAGAACTCACATTCTACATCCATCAAAGAAAATGAAAATGCTATTGCTCCCGTTACCGTGAGCCTGAAAATAACGGAAAGTAATGAAACCCAAGAAGATAGTCCGGAAAGTCCATCTTCCTGATAAAAAGAAAATTCGAGATGGAAGAGAATATTATATTTATAAGTGAAGTTAAGACTAAGTGCTAAGTGCTCCATTAGAATAATTAAAATTATGATATTAAAATGTGTCGCTTTATTTTAACCGTCTTGTTTATTGTAGTTGAGAAACCTATGCATGAAATTACATCACATTTGTAAAATCGGTACCTGATAAGATTAGACCCTCGGAACCCAGCCAGGTATAAACCGTCTGGGGAGAAAGACAGTAAGCCTTTTTTTTAAAGAGGGAAAATCATCGAATGACTTCTCCCGCCTGGTTGAGGCGGAAAGGAATGTCCGACTGTTAATGACTAAAAACCACCCAGTTCCTACTCCTGCACTTCGAGCCGGAGCCCCGGTAACCCATTAAGTTCTCCGCGGCTCCGTATCAGCATCAGCCCTATTAGGCCCCAACTGTGGTGGTCTGATGGCTCTTTGAGGCGCGCGCGAACCGCGACGCGCGACAACACACGCTCGGGTCTGGTTCTGGTCGGGCGGCGAGCTACCCTTGCTTGCCGTCCGCAGGCCCGTACTTATGGTGGCCGGAGATCGTCCCGCGATCCCCGACTCCAGGAGTGTCCTTCGCGACGGGTGGGTTGTGAGGAGGCAGCGCTTCGCTGTCTCAGGCTCCCCGCCTGCTCCTTCGCTAGAATGACTGATCACATCCCTGAGGGCATGGCGGTGCCCAGCCCACGCAGGGCATTCCCCTACTATGTTCCACCGTGTCCTCAGGACGGTCCTCGCAGTGATGACACCCGGGCGTTTCCTCCCGCCTTATCAGACACAGGTACCTCCCGAAGCTCACATGTGTCTCGGACAAGCGGTAGGTGAGGACGCCGTAGCGTCACTCAAGCCACTCTTCAAAGAGCCCGAGCCCAGGGTATAGGGGCCTAGGCCGATTGTCTGTATACTATCACAATATTATTCTTGGTCTTTTCTTGACCCCAGAGTACCTTAATTGTGTAGGTAGGTCCTACTAGGACTACATACATACCTATATAGCACTATATTATTTACATAAATGAGAGATACTACAGAAACAGACCGTTTCTTGGGGCCTTCTCTTAGTACATAGCGATTATTCTGGTATTGTGGAACGGGCCCTAAGGTTTATTACAAAATAAATATGTTTTTTTAAAATCCTTCCAATCTGAGGGCCAAAATAATCCCTAATAGACTTTTAATATCGGCGCAAACCGTCCAGTAACCTGTTTCATTTTCCTCTTCTAAACATTATCAAATATCAAGCATTATCTATAAATGTATTGTTATCGCTCTATATTCAAATGTGTGCAAAAGATTCAATATTACTACTCGGTCCTCACGCCTTACGGATGGACAATGAATCATCCAAAATTCCTATTTATCAGCAGCGATACGCCAGGCCTACAAATGTATAGACGTACGAACACCACGTTCCTTGCCACGCAATAACAGCAAAACTGAATCGTGGAATTTTTGTGTCGGTTTAATATTATAATTCATTTAAACGTTGTAGAATATTTATTATATACTAATAAGATATAATTTATAATTTAGTGTTTTATTCTATGCCATTAAAAATCTTTTCTTTATATAATCCGGCTTGACTCTTCGTCGACAATCGTAAAATTAAACGTACATTATATTTTCTCTCCATTTTTCTTCACGACATTTGACAGATGATAAAGTGGCCGCCGTCCCAAGGATCCGTCCGTGTTAAAGCCACTCCTATCATAGCTAAATCCAAATTCCGCCTTTGCTAATAAGAGTCTTACAAGCAATGCAGATTTTGTGTTTGAAATACGTGACAGTGATATGGCTTAATTGTTAATAGACAATCAGTTATCAATCAAAATGAGTGGGCGATCGAGCCGTGGTGTGTTTGGGAAACTCTTCTCAAAAAAGACTCCCAGAGAGAGAGAAGAGCGAGTGACTGACATCGGTATGCCTACAGACGTGAAACAACATATTCATGTTAGTAAGAACTCAGAAACTGGTATGTTGGAAGGATTACCAACGTCTTGGTTGCGATTGTTAAACACACAGATTACACCAGCCGAACAAAATGAGAACCCAGATGCGGCCATCCAGGCTGTCAAGTTCCATATGTACACAATCAAAAAAGAGAAGGCACCTGATGAGCCGTTCAAGCCATTCCTCACTGACGAGGCAATCACTGAAGAAAATAAAGAAATAGAGGAGTTGCTAGTTCATAAGAATCAGAAAAACCAGAGTCAGGATTCAGACCTGTCAATAGGTCAAAGTAGCGAGGAGGAGGTTGGCATCAATGACATATACTCGCAGAGACAAACCATGCCCGCTGCACCCATCAAAACCGGCATGAAGAAAAAGGATGCAATGATGGACTTGACAGCTGTGGTGGAAGACTTAAGTCTGATTGGTAATGACCCTGAGGAAAGTCCCATACTGCGAAAGAAGGAGCTGAGATATGCTACACTGACTGATGAAGAAATATATGAGGAACTGCGGAAGATATGCAACAAGGACGATCCTTATGTGCGGTTTGAGAGGATAAAGCAGCTTGGGGCTGGTGCATCAGGTGAGTTACACAGTAAAGACATTGGTGACAATATCAGATTTCTTGTAAAAGAACCCTTAGATTAATTTATGCCAAAATTAGAGGTAAATAAAGTTAATATACCTTGTTTTTGCTGTAATCATTCTTAATTATGATTGTCATTATGGACTAAACTTTAATGATTATATTATAATATACCTAACATGATAATATTATAGTTAAATATAAATGTATCAAGCAGCACAATATATCTTATTAACACTGCCTTCTGATCACAAACGAGGTTAAGAGCATTAAGCATACAGCTAGCATTCAGTGACCAATTGACACTAATCTGTTAATTGAACCAAGAATAAGTGACAAAATTGAGGAGATTTATACACATCAACAACAAACAAGCTTACATACAACCAACACATACAATAACACTGCTTAATACATTCTATTATTAACTATTACCATGAAATTATACAGTTAGCAATAGAATTTGGTATGCAGGTAAGAAAATAAAAATAGATTCAGTGCTAACACAGCTGTTATCCAAAACTAATGAAAGCTGAATCTTTTGTTATTGTATCTGTACTGTACCAATCTTTAACTTCTTACCTGCTGCATATTCACAATTCTAGCCTGTTTATTAAAATGCCCATTTCAATAAAAAAATTAGGTATTTCAATAAGTTCAATGAAAATGAAGCGAGAGTTTATGAATGAAGTAACTAATAGTGTTTATACCTCAATACATATTTCATAATGATCGGTTATTACAAAACTTATTACAAAACAAAAGAGATTGCAGACATGTGCACACTGCATTGGTCACACCCCAAGGTCTATTAATCTGTCAAACACCGAGCGGTCACCGGTGACCGCGACCTATTGTTCTTTAATTGTGTCTATAAAACCGGTACTCGACGAGTTAATTCATTTATATGCAAGGTTTATTTTTATAATTACAGTACCGTTTTAACCAAAAGGGCACTCGGGGCCCGTACCCAGGACTCGGGGACCTCAGGGAAACCCTGAGAACCGACAATTTCTACACATATGATACAAACCTGCTATACATTGCGTGGCAATTGACTGCCTCGCAACTCAATGTATAGTGGGTTCGATTCCCGCACAGCAGAAATCTTTATGGTGATCCACAAATTGTTGTTTTGAGTCTGGGTGTCTATCTAGTGTATGTAATAGTTATTGTATGTTTTTACACACACCAAAATACAAATGTTGAGCATAGTTAAAAAAAATAGATATTCCAAAAGGCTCCTGAATTATTGTGTGCCTAAGGGCCCCAGCGAAGTCTAAGATGGCCCTGTATAGTTAGTATAGTATTCTTACAATAGCAGCCTAGCGGGTGAGATCCTGGTATTATTCTGCTACCAACAGTACTTCTGTTTAAACTGTCAAACATCAAGCAGTCACCGGTGACCGCAACCTATTGTTCTTTAACTCGTCGAGTACCGGTTTCATAGACACAATTAAAGAACAATAGGTCGCGGTCACCGGTGACCGCTTGGTGTTTGACAGTTTAATTGTGTCTATAAATACGGTACTCGACGAGTTAATACATAAATAATGTTTGACATGTTTAGTAATGTTTGAAAATCCAAAATTGCAATTGCTTTTCCATTCCCGTGTTACAAACTCCTTTCATATCTTTCTTAACACAATCTGTCCATTTTTACTTTGATTTACTTTTTGTCCTTTTTTCCTCTCATTCCATATTTAAATGTAGCATCCTCTTTGAGGTATGACTGTCCTGCCTTCTCATATGTGGGTACTACAGAGTGTATCTTTCAAATAATTATATTTCACTTTTTCCTCAAAATTGCTTATTTATCCCTAACATACCTAATTCTGTCTTATCTTTGATCAAAATTATTTGTGAGTGACAATATTATTATGATAAATAAACTGCTTACTGGCATCCTCTATGTCAATAGTTGTTAGTGTTCTTGAATTGGATCAAAAATGCTGATTAATGTTTTAATTAAATTTCCATTATGTTTGCATCACACCACTTTATAGGTACTTGTTATTGTTACTTATAGTAAGGTAATAATAAATAGGCTATGAGCAACCTAAATTTTTGACTAAAAATAATTGTTTTATAATTTTTCCTCCTTTTGCATACTTCCTTTCAACTTGTGTCATTCATTCCAACTACAAGAGCTTTTTTTAGTACGAAAGGTATTTGAACTCACAAAAACATTAATGATGAGAATTTTGGTCAGTAATTTACCAAAACTTTGTATACTCTTTATACAAGGTGTAGTAGAACACCTTGTATAAAACTATTACATATATAAAAAACTAATAGGAATTAAACCTGAAAAGATGATGTGGAATATATTTCATCAGTCAACACAGTGGTAATCTGGTGATTGATAAAAGACTATTGTTTGAATTATCTGATAACTGTTTATAGACAAAAATGTTTACATATTTTACTCTTCTAGAAGTTTCTCCAACATAGTCCAAATTATTATGTGCAATATAGTAACGAAAAGAACATGCCCATCAGGTATTACCAGCCTTCCATGATCTTAACTGTGATTAATGTGACATTGAATGTCACACAAAATCTTTACATAACATCCAAGAATTTTACAATCTTATCAGTTGACTACTTTCTGAATTGATTAAGTACAATATCGTTTGAATGACTAAATTATGTTTATTTATATTGTAGTTTTCTGTTCCAAAACTTAACATTAAGAGTTGTAAATGCTTTGCATTATATTGGAAAATTATTATAAGTACTTCATTACTGATAGCTTCCCAATTCCCATAGGTTTATGCTACTTAATATTCAATCTTTTCTATTATGTAGATAACATAATTTAACATGTAATTTTTTTTTTATTTAGTATTATTTATATGTAGTCAATTAATGAAATGGTAGTTATCATCACTACAAGTATTTATTTCATCACTAGCGACCCGCCCCGGCTTCGCACGGGTGCAATATGCATGTATTATACATATAAACCTTCCTTAAAAATCACTCTATCTATTTAAAAAACCGCATCAAAATCCGTTGCGTAGTTTTAAAGATCTAAGCATACAAACGGACAGACAGACGGCAGATAGCGACTTTGTTTTATACTATGTAGTGATTACCTTATAGTAAGTAAATCATAAACAATTCAACACATTACTAAAAGTAGAATTACAAAATGTAAAGTTTAAATTAGCCATAAAAGCTGGAAACAGGAGCCGCACCTCACAAACACCCCTCGCGCACTCAGCAAGCTATTGCATTTCCTTCTAATTAACTAAGTGGTACAATGTTGTTCACAGGTGTGGTGTTCGTCGCGATAGACAGTAAGGACAACTCCAAAGTTGCCATCAAGGACATCGACCTCACCAAGCAAAGCAAGAAGGAACTAATACTCAATGAAATAAACGTGTTGAAGGGATTCAACCACAAGAATCTGGTCAATTTCCTGGACGCGTTCCTCAGTTACGATCACCTGTGGGTCGCTATGGAACTGCTCGACGGAGGCTCCCTCAACTACGTCGTCACTGAAGTCGTCATGAAAGAAGGCCAGATAGCTGCCGTTTGTCGTGAGACTCTTCAGGCCATTGCCTTCCTGCACTCCAAAGGTACAATACACAGGGATATTAAGTCTGACAATGTCCTGCTCGGCATGGACGGCACTGTCAAAGTTACAGACTTTGGATTCTGCGCCAACATTGTAGGCGATGAGAAACGACAAACTATGGTCGGCACGCCTTACTGGATGGCACCTGAAGTCGTCACCAGAAAGCAATATGGTAAAAAGGTTGATGTGTGGTCGTTAGGTATTATGGGGATCGAAATGATTGAAGGCGAGCCACCTTACATGAAAGAGTCTCCGTTGCGTGCTTTATATCTAATCGCTGCAGTAGGGCGGCCGAAAATCCCTAGGTGGGAAAAGTTAACACCCCACTTCCAGGACTTCCTAGATAAATGTTTACAAGTGGATGTAGATTTACGAGCCGCGGCGGACGAACTCCTAAGGCATCCGTTCCTTGATTGTGCCATGGAACTGAGGACACTGACGCCCCTCATCAAGGCCGCGCACAACGTCCACCGCAAGAACCACGACTGAGACTGGTAACTGTTTCATTCCTTCTTCATTTTTACGTGTATTTCACTTTTATAGCCTTTTACAATTTGTATGCTCTTTATGAATGTAATGAAATGACTGTAATGAAGTGCCAAGTTTTGCATAGTATTTACAAGGTTACGACTAATGGACAATATACGCCAGTAGGTACGCGGCATTTCAACAATGTTTAATTAAAAAAGGGTTTAAGCGCACACTTGCGGAGGACGGAAGCATTCTGTATTAGCATAGTTTATTCCTAGATAGAGCTACACATTTTTCGTTGTACGCATTTAGAATAAAATCGCAAGATATTAATTTCGACAGCACTAAGCGCGTATAGCTTTTGTCTTATCTTTAGACTCGTATAGATACCGTATCTCCAACTGATATAGATATTCACACATCACACTAAAGTGTTCCCCTAATGAAATGTTCGAGGGTTACGTATGAAATCTTTAATTTTTGTACAAGAAAATGCCATAATTATCCAATATAAATTGATTTTACAAGTTTTAGGCTAATCGGCTTAGGATTTAGTTACTTAATAAGAATGTAGTCTGTCCAAATTAAGTATTTTTCTATTGTAAGGAAACAGTTTTTGGTAACATTTTGAACGTATTTGAATTAGCTTTTGGAAATCGTGCAGTTTTATGAAGAGATGCCATTTTTGACTCTCTGGCCACTGTGGGACATTACAGAGCCATGAAAACTAATATGTATTTTTATAAACTACAAATATATTTAAGGTTTTTATAGTTAACAATAGAGTGCAATCAGGTTACGGTGGCCACACAAATACGTTTTGTTTGTAAGGTACTTTTTGATAAAATAAGTGATTGGTGCACAGTTAGGCTATTACCAAAAATGTACATACGAAATAACTTTTTAGCTAGTCGTAATCATTTGCAATGTTATTTTTGTAATTTATATTTTACCGGTTCAACCAAATGCAACAGTTTAGGACGCGGTGTCACATTCCTGCAGCATTCTCGTACTTCTTATGAAAATGTATTCCGTGGAAAAGTATTCTATATTCTACTTTAATATAAAACTAACGACAAAAAATTAAGACTGTTTTACAGTACTGCATTTTGAGAATAGTATTAGCCATTCTTTAGAGATAAATACTGATGAGAGCACAATAGGACAGTACTCCATACTGGCGTGTCACCTAACATATAAAATATATTCACGCATCGAACACTCGTTTATATTTATATTCCTCATTGTACTATAACAGGGACATTGCCTCCATTAGACACTGGAATAATTTTCAAACAAATTATTTCAGTAAACGTTCTTGTGCTCAAACTTCGGGAATTTGACGATGTTTTATGTATTATAAAAATTAACTTTATTTTGTTAAAGGTACAGCATATGTTGCTATGCGAATTTAAAAAATAGTCTGGTCATGGTAAATAAGGAAATGTTTAGCGCTATTATTATGTGTATTGCAAATATGTTGTGCTACTTCTATGTGGTGTATTGTAGGATAATTCGTTTGCTAACTTTTATGGTGTTCAATTGTTTTATGCTATCTTTCTTTATAATGTGTTTATTCGTCAATCAGTGTTGCCATACTCAACAGTTTACGTGAGTTTTTTTATCTCTCTTGAACCTTCAATACACCTTTGAGTTATACTCGTAAGAATATTAGCGTGTATATGAATTATAGGCAATGTAACAGCTTCAACTCCCCGAGTGATATTATTACTTTGGATCATGTTCATTGATACTTCTCTATCATCCTCGTTTTCATACATTTCAAACGGTGCAATATACTGTAATTACTCTTCAAAAGGACAAAATGTATTTTGAGATTGTTTTAGTATTATGTCAGTATCTTATGTTTGTTAATAAGTTCACATACACTCGATCCGTCGTAGCTTATGGGAGACATCAGTTTTATAATAATATCTCTGCCATGAGTGCCTGCTTCGTACTATAGTTTAGATGTACTTTTACGGATTAGAATTTAAGCATTTTCATCGACACAACGAAGAATCGTGTGCATGCTGTTCTATATGACGATGTAGTCTCGTTACTTTGACGAATCATATAAAATTACAATTTGTATGGAGGTAATTGTGGGAATTTTGTACACAGAAAGTACAATGCAGTACGGTGGCAATATAACCTACGTATAAAAGATCGTCCACTTATGTAATCAACGTCGAGGTACTTAGTAAATCGAGATCATTGGTGACTGGCGGCCGAGTTGTCGCCTTCGAGTCCCGACATTGTGCGCGCTCTAACTGCCAGTAACGCAAGACTCGTCTCATATACTACAGCACTATGTATTGACGCTACGCTATTATTGTAAGTTTATATACACAAAGGACACTTTTTTGAACATTTTATTAATATAATTTGCCTATTAAATTATTTTTCTAAAATATCTTTTGACTTTAATTTATCTAGCCCATAGCACTTTTTAACTAAAATACAATCAATAGTTATATTGGTCAACAACGAATTGACGTTAAATATAGAAACAACTAAAAAACTAGATATAAATAAAATATTTAATCAACTTGGAATAAAATTGTAACATACATAGGTGTACAACAAAAATAAATATATTATGCCATTGTGCTAACTAATAGCTATAATTAAATATTAACTCCATGCATCAACTACATATTGGTGATGTTTCTGCATATGAGATATCTTTGTCTTAGCTTCTTCTGAGGTCATGTCTCCATACTCCACTAAACAATTCACTAATATCTCCTTGACTTCCACAGCCATTGTATTTAAATCTCCACTAATGTAGACATGTGCACCTTCCTTGATGAGTTGGACGACTTCCTTCCCACTTTCTATTAAAGCATCCTAGAAAATAAAGATAATATTGAATTACCTTACTATCATACAATATAGGTAATTTAGCCACAATGGGAATCTATCATCGAAGTTATGTGTCAACAAGGGTTTTTATTTTTGTGAATAATTATTTCTAATAGTACTCTTTGTTCCATAAGCAACTGTCATATCCAAGCCAATCATAATTCATTTTTCTTTATACAAGATGTAGTTTTGTAGCCGTGTCATTTTTTCGGGGGCATGTCACAGAAGTCATAAAGGTTCAATGTAAGAGAAAGTTTCGAACCAATAGTTAAAAATACAGCTATAATAAATCGTTTAAGTTTGACAGTATTTCAGAATAAGCGACAGCAATGTTTCTTATTGGAGTTTTATGGAATTAGGAATAATATCAATTACGTGTTTGAGTTTGTGTGTGTTAAGCCGCTTTATAAAGCTAGTTACAAGACGGCGGCGTATAGTTCACACTTACGGATTTCCGTAATTTACAGAAAAATGAAAAAACCTAAATTTTTTTTTTATTTATTCGGACTTAGAATCGATATCCGAGTTACCTCCTAGAAAATGAACGCGGCTTTAAAACAACACCTTGTATAATCACTAATCACAAAACAAAAAAATCCAATATACAAAAACTGATGTCGTAATTGATACATACCTGAATGTACTTATTTTCAGAATCAACTCTAGAAAACGCTGTAAAAAGCTTAGTCAAAGTGCCTTTTGCCAAAAAATCCTTCAATTCTTCTTCATAAATGAAGTCTAGTTTTGGATTTCGGCATCCAAAATATAAGTAAACATCACCAAACTTTACATCTTGATTGCTTTCTTTTAATAATTCCCTTTCCTCTAAGAACCCAATAAAAGGTGACACTCCAGTGCCAGGCCCAATTAAAATCAGTGGTTTCTCTAAACTCTCGGGTAAACAAAACATACTGAAATTTTTCCGAAGGTATATGGACACTTTCCGTTTATTCTGAGATTCTTTAGAAATACTCATATTCTTTAATCCATTTTCTAGTGTGATTTCTTCATTCAATAATAGCCTTTCTAACCACCCAGTTGTGAGTCCTTTTCGGTTGTTGTTTGTCATCACAGAGAAGCAAATTTTCATGACATGATTATTCTTTAAACCACTGTTAACAATTGAATAAGGTCTTGGCAGTAATCTGGATAGATTTCCAAGTAAAACCTCAATAGGAGGTTTACAAGTTTTGAATATACTAAATATGTCTAGTATACATAAACTTTTGTTTAGAACATGAGTAGAATATGCTGTAGCGCCTTCCTTACTGCATAAATATTCAAGTATCTTTCTTTCTTTGTCATCCTCAGTGTATTTGGATAGAGACAAAAGGAAAGCCTGAAACAGAACATGTGTTTTTATTACTTAAAAATAATACACCATAATGACTTTATTAAGTATTGCAGGTTGAAGTGATTTTTATATCATGTTCAACTAATTAGGACAGACCCCTTATCCAAAATTTGTATTGTCTCATTTATTAATAAATAATTTCTATATGATATAATTTCTTTACACTAGTATGTCAACTTATAAGTTAAACTCGATCAAAATCCCCAAAATTTGTTCATACAGAAGTAGTCTCTAAACATAGGAAATAAGGTCTATAATGGCGTTAGTGGAGAGTGATGACCAGTGACTGAACAAGAAAAAAAAGCAAATTAACCTATTAATCAAAATAATAGTAGATTTAAAGCCATACCTTTTTCAATAGACTCCTTAATTCCACGCAGTATTTCAATACATGTCTCAATGTAGACTTGGCAGGAATGTGTATCGGAAGCTTATTTCCCTTTGTACTAGAATCCACGGTGATGGACACGGGTAGATCTACAGTAGAGGCTAAATTCAGATGACTCACAATGAAATCAATGTCTGAGTCATCATTCTGAGGTATAATACCTATTGTATCACCAGCCTTAAATGTGAATTTGCTGTCCTGGAATTGATGTTTTATAATTATTTATTATGATAATCAGAATAGATGATAGACTGTGTAACAAAATGGAGTTTGTGGTACGATGATAATTTAAGCACCACCACATTTACCACATATGTGTGGTTACAATATTTCATTCTCTGTTCCTTCCAGTTTCTATCCTAAGCTGCTATGGCTTAGGATAGAAACTGGAATGCAAATTATGATATTAAATCATGACAATAGTTAAAGTCAAAATGGTTTATCTCAATTAGACCAGAAAGGGACTTTTGAATGTGAACAAAAAATTTAAAAGTAACGCTATTTGCTCATGTTAATATGTATAACTTAAACCTAAAGTTGAAATAAAAATATGAGATTGTACATAATATGCCTATAATAACTAGAATAAAATTTAAAATACAAATTAATATTAAGAACTACAAAGTTATACATACTTCGACATCAAGGGTTATTTCATAAACTGCCTTACAGTCTCCGTTTGAAGCAGTAAGTCGTTTCCACGTTAAGATATCAGCGTCGAATATCTTACTGGTGGCAAACGGTAAAGGAGGCCCCAACCCATCGTATGAGGTTTCAGTACTCTGGAATAGATACATAATTCCATTAGATCATAAGATTTTCTTGTGTAGGTACATTTTACAATGGAAGAGAATGCCCATGGCAGCACTCCTTGTACATTAATATGTGCATGAAGCCTTCTAAAACTATAAATAAAAAAATTTACAGTAATAAAAATTACAATAAAAAGAGTAAACTTACGTTATCACTATTATAGCAAACCTTCAAAGGACTTTGTTTGAATCCCGGTAAACTAAGCTTGTCTATCTCTTGTAATTTTGCTATAATATCTTCAAATGCATTCAAGACCACCATTTTTAGTACAAAGTAGCTTTTATTTCACAAATACAATCAAAACTGTGCTGTGTATAAATTGTGACATTTCAAATGCTGTATAACCTCAAAACATGTCATGTGTCATCTATGTGACATTAACAATTGACACTAAAAACCCTTAGTTCAAAGAAATGCGTTCATTACAACAAAACAATTAAACATTTTTAAAATAAATTATTCCAGACGTCCAGACTACAACAAAATCTACAATATTTATGCTATGCGACAGATGACTTGTCTTTAAATCCCGAGTGAATAGGTTGCTTATAGTTTGGCGTGCTCCATCGTCGGCCACATCATCGCTTGCCACCAGGCGAGATGGAAGCATGGAAAATTGGAAACGTCAACCTATCAAGTATTAAAAAACTCAAATAGTCTAGAAAGAGTCGTTTATATCCAAAAATATTAATTTATTTAGTTTTCATTTTAGATTCCTAGTGGCTGTGCCGTCACTATCAATTTTATTTTCTTACAGGACTATACCTACATGATAGAATAATAATTTGAACGTGGAAAATCTTACAGCAAAATGGGGCATAGCATTAGGACAGTAACGTGCTAAACGGATTAAAGGTAATCGGCCACCTAAAGAGCATAGCTCCGGCACGGCGTTAATACAGAGAGATTGACAGCGTGCCAACGGCGCATGAGCGGCGCGCTTACGCTTACTTTTTTAATATGGACTTTTGAAATAAGTTATACAACATACGATTTAAAGATGACAAGTTAATTGCTGAGTTGGAGCCGTGCTTGATATATGACCTTAAACCTATATAAAACCTATATAAAATAAGGCAAATAATTTATTTTCAAATTAAATCATGAAAAGTAATATAGGTACTATTTATTTTATTTATCTTCTTATTTTTCTGCATATTCTTCGTCCCTTTATTCCTTACTGCCATCAGGGATGATCTCAACGCCAGAGTGAAAATCTTCTTCTGTAAACGAAAAGGTCAAGACATGCATGTTTTATTTGTTATTAGGTTTAATTGTATGGGCGGCGCGGCATTTGAGCAAAGGTATCACACAGGTAGGACACTTTCTTTTTTTTAAGGGGAAATATAATCGAATGTCTTCTCCCACCCGGGTGTGGCAGGAGGGAGTGTCAGACGCTTACTAATTAAAAACCACCCCGTTCCTACTCCTGCACTTTGAACCGGAGCCCCGATAACGCGTTAAATGATCCGTATCGGCATCAGCCTTATTGGGCCCCATTCATGGTGATCTGATGGCTCTTTGAGGCGCGCGCGGAACGCGACGCACTGCACGCTCGGGTCTGGTTCTGGTCGAGCGGCGAGCTACCCATGCTCGCCGTCGGCAGACCCGTGCTTACGGTGGCCGGAGATCGTCCCGCTATCCCCGACGAGCGACGCCCGGAGTGTCCTTCGCGACGGCTGGGTCGTGAGGAGGCAGCGCTTCGCTGCTTCATGCGCCCCGTCTCCTCCTTAGCTAGCATGACTGATTCGCAAAAGGAGGAGACGGCATCTCAGTCCTACAGGACGCTTGGATAGTCCATTTGTCATGGAAGGCTACAATATGTCATAAAACGTTTCATTGCGATTGCGACCAAAAGGAGTATGTAGAGGTATAGAAGAGACTAGCAGACTCAACACACACTTAGGTTTTGTACGTATTTAAGTACATATATGTGTATAATTATGTATGTATATATGTTATATTATGTTATGTATTTTCCTTCGTATATTTAGGTACCGGATATATGTCCCATACTTATTTTGTCTACTCTTCGTTTTGCATTACGTATATATTTTAATACTTCTTCATTATATGTATTTAGGTGATTAGTATATATTGTGTGATATGATATGTATAATTAATTAATTATATATGATGTTAATTTTAATGTTAATTATATGTAATGTTAATTATTGTGTTATTGTAATAAGTGTTAAACTTTTACACCTGCTATTGTCTCTCTGCATCACCCTAAGCATAGTATAAAGAACAAAGTAGGTTATCTTCATACAAATGCTCCGCGCGCGGCTTATATGTGTGCGCCATAGTATCTATGCGTCGACGCACGCACACTATAACAAAATCTCGACCCGTTTCTCAGTGCGCCAGGCAGGGCTGACACTGTACGAGGATTGCGCGCGCTTCACGGCTTTTCGGCACTGTTCAATGAAATAAAAAATGTCTGATAATCGTAGAAGAACGTATTGCTGTGTGTTTGGGTGTCTTAATAATTAATCGATTCCAGAACTGTCTCTGTTCAGATTAGGTACCTATTGAACAGGAAAGGTAAGCTAGTCACTTTTTCTAGCATAATATAATTTGTAGGTACTTGATGATGAGATACCTACTTACTCATTCTTACTCTTATCATTCTTCATAGTTCCTACTCAACCAGAAATGTAATTACCTACTATACTTAAATATTATAAGAAAATGTGGTATTGTATTGTTTATTTCACAGTTTATCTGATTTGTTAAGAGCGTAGCCGAGTCGCAATTTTCCATATAAATGTATTCCCAAATTTACTTTCTGAATACTATGTATAGAGCTAAAGTTTATTTTAAGAAGTTAATAATCTTTTTATAAGCTTTTAATTTTTACTAAATTTATAAATTGATAAAATATTCAATCATAATAAATTTTCATTTCATAAATTTAGATCAAGTGCTGCTTGTTCGAAAATATTAACTAAAAGTAAAAGTGACAACCCTGGGGATCAACGCAAGAGTAGGCTAATAACTCGGCGGGCGGCCTTAGATAACCTACTGTGTTCTTTCTACTATGCCCTAAGGTTGACTGTTAGAGAATGCCACTAGGCATTAAGTCCGCCATTGTATACCTACAAGAAGTGTTTTTTTTTTTAAAAAAGGACAGGTATCTGCGGAAAAATTTAAGATTTTACTTACGCATTATTTCGACGCCAGGGTCTGGAATATGTTCTTCCAAACATTCCGGACAAACAGTAGATTCGCAAGGATTAACAGTTGTTGTTGGGAACGAGGGCATCATCTCTGCTGGAGGTGGCTAGTAAATATACAGACACCTATTTACATAAAAGTTACAAAAATATAGATATCCTAATTGGCCATCATGAACAGTCATGTTTTTCTTTAGTTTAGTATCTTTAATTTAGAGACAGTTAGAATTAGAACAGTATACAAACAAATAGGTACAGGGTGTAAATGGAACGGATTTATAAAAGAACGACAGGTGAAGGTAAAAACGAGATTTATTTTCAAAAAGTAAGGAATTAAATGTATCTTTCTTGTAACAATAGGTGTAATCAACTGATCAAGGCTGATGTTCCATGAATAACGCGAAAAAAAACGATTAAAAATATTGTACAAACAAAAAGTAACCTTACCTCAAGTCGGTACAGGTAAGATAATCGGCAAGGATCCCAGGTAGTGCATAAAGTAGCATTGTGCATCATATCCTTACGCGGTTCGTCACCGAAATAGTCAAATGTTATGACTATGTTATTATCAATTGCACAATCTTCTAAAAATTCGGTCACTGCAATCTAATATTTTAAAAACAGTCAGTCAATCCCTGCGTCATAAATGCCCTGAATTAATTTAATTCGTATTTGTATTGAGTAAACTGTAATATAAATAGTCTTACTTTAGTCTTATTTCCACAATCCAACGTTCCATTTTGGAAGTAGTTATTCTCTCTCTCGCCGTTACCGAGGCAGAACATCCATCCTTCATGGAACGAATACTCAATGGGGGCCACTTCAGCTTCAATGCAAGGATCCAGTGCAATGGGAATGGACGCTTCCCCACCCGTGCACCTTCGTTCATGCATGTTGGCTTGTACTCGATAAGCTTGGAGATCCGGTTCCGTATTAGGTGGACACTTGTAGTAGTTTCCTACAATAAACTTAATATATAGGTTACCTTCCTTCCTTATATACCTTCGCTTTTTAAAACGTAATCTCTCTAGCCGAAATTGAATTGGTCAAGTATTTAATTGAACTTACCATTTTGTATAATATAAACAGACTTTTCTTTTTTACTGACCACAGTTCTAACTGTGAGGCCGTTGCCTCCACTTTTAATGTTCTCCATGAGAACCTCCTGCGCCGCACGCTGTTCGCGGGACCATTTCGCTGCTTCTTCAGCCAAAATCTGACGACTTACTTTCCCTGGGCTTTGGGTCGACTGTGAGATAAAATTTTAATGTGTGTTATGTTATTTTAGTTAAAGATTTCAATTAAAATTGCTGTACGTCAGTGTTCTAGCACCAATTTCATAGGTAGGTAAGTAAGAACCAAAATTGTTAAGTGTGAAGACAGAAGGACTCTAAGTTTGTTTGCTTGAAAACCGCTATCATACCATTTCTTACCTGCGGTGGATTTTCCATGATGACGTGTGGTCGGCCCAACGTATGCTGCCATATCAGTTGCGCAGCTACTTTGTACTTAGAGCTATGGTGGAGAGGTTGAATCTGTAGGATACCGTACCACGCGAGTTCCCTGTAAACACTATCAGGCAGGTAGCCAGTCTGAAGAAAAAATATTAAGTAAGTAGTTTTAATTATTACATGTGTCTTCATGTGAAAACTGTATTTATAAAATTTGATTGTCATTACTAAATAAATGTTACTCTAATCTAGACGTACTCACAGGCATAAAATCCATGTGCCACTGAAAAATACATAAATATTTAAATAAAATAGAATAACATTGTTACACAATAATTACCATTAAAATTATAAAAAAAAACATTTCTCCTTACTTCTTCTTCTTGAGTATCTACTGGTGATAGTTTGTCTGTAAGTTAAAATATTCTATATGTAAGTTACACAAGTTAGTGCTAGTGATTAGTGACAAAAGTTTGTGAACTTGGGTAGGTAAGCACTTAAGTAAGTTAGTTTCAAGTTGTGACGGTAAAATGCAATTGCTTCTCTTACCGTCATCGTCATCCGAAGCTGTAGCTAACTGCAAAAATTAAAATTCAAATAAGTATGTAGTACCTACCTACCTAACTGAGTAGTTAGTGCATCCATCTATTTTCATATTTTATAGATTTTATTGGAAAAAATTGGAAAAAAAAACTTCTATACCAACCTTTAGAGCTACTAAAATAGCAAACGTTATGTAGTTCGCCATATCGATAACTAATATGAAACTATAACGAATTTTACTTGTAAATAAGTTAATTGTTAGAGTGTTAACGACATATAGTAAAAAATAATTGAAATAAAATTTGAAAACCAATTAAACACAACCTTTAGGTAGGTACGTCTGGGTAGGTGTAGGGTAGGGGATAAGGGTGCGTCCATATCTGGCGACTGTTTTAATTTAAGAACTTATCGTTTCAATATTTTTATTTCAGCAAAATTTAGATTAGGTGACTGTTTTATCATTTTCTATAATAATTATTAAAAATAATACAAAAATATCCAATAAATATCAAAATTGATTGATGCATGCAATAAAACGCAAGCTATAGCGCACTGCAGCCTCCACAGATGATAATAACAAGACGAGAAGGAGCTGTCAGTTTCGCATCAAACAATAAATCAGGGCGTAACGTTTATATTCTATTTTAATGAATAAAACAGTGTAGTTTAGTATCGTGTAAGTCGTTAAAATGAATACACTCGATAAACAATTAGCGGATCTACGAATATACGCGAACGAGTTGGAAGCAAAACTTCAAGATGATATTAACGCGGCTATGAAAAAACCTTCAATTCCACCCAAAAAAAATAAGCCTCCTTTGCCTCAAATACCTCAAAGTTGTATGGTGAAGTCTGCCTGCGAACCGTCCTATTCATCTAGACTAGAATATGGTAGCCGCACTAGTTCTACGTACTCAAACTTAGTCCCTGTAAAGAGTTGCATCGTGCGGAATACAGCTAAAGTACGCAGCGGAGATGTTTTGCTATACAGCAATGTACTACCTCCCGGGGGCACCAACCATGTCTACTCCAATGTTATGATGCAGCGCAATGCTTACGGTGGTGATAGTATTTACGGTGATCGTGATACGAGATCAGAGGTGTCTAGAATTAGCGATTTAGGTGCACAGTCTAATTACAGTGAGTTGCGGCGACCCGGCTCCGCATATCCCCCTTCTTCGGCGTCTGTTAATGCTCAGGACTTTTCTACTTATGGTGGATCTCAGACATCATCTACTTACGAATCTCTGTATGAGCCCATTAATCCAAGACCATGCAGTCAGCTGTCTGGCACGTCCCTGTACGGCGGCTATGTAGGCACCACAGTGGAGCCTACTCCAGAACCTGACGATGCACTGTATTGTGGTAACTGCTACAAATGTGGTGAGAAGATCATGGGTGAGACTACTGGCTGCACTGCCATGGAAAGGATCTATCATATTAAATGTTTCTGCTGTCAACAATGTGGAATTAACTTACAAGTAAGTATAGAGTTACATTTATTTTTTTACTATGCTTGTCGATATTTAGGGGGTAGTCATCTAGTCATGTTGAATTATTAATTAACTCGTCGAGTACCGTATTTATAGACACAATTAAAGAACAATAGGTTGCGGTCACCGGTGACCGCTTGGTGTTTGACAGTTTAAAAATGAATTAAACACTGATAGCTTACCAAAGTTAAAAAAAAACTACTGATAGTGGTAACAAAGTGTTAGGTGCATGCCTAGTAAATGCAATATTCTTTGTAGTTAATCCTGCCCTCATCTGAGTAGCCACAAAGATAATAATATACCAAACCAATAGTTACTGGAAGCTGTATTAGTTGATGATTAAGAACCATCAATATAATTTTATAATCTTACAATATAAACCAGTTACCTAATTTTATGAAAATAACAAAACATAACATCACACCTTATGCCTGAAGGGGTAGGCAGAGGTGCATGTTATGGCACTTATTGCCACTGTACAATGTAACACCCACTTTTCACTATTATGTTAAGAGTCCCATAATTTAATCTGTCAAACACCAAGCGGTCACCGGTGACCGCAACCTATTGTTCTTTAATTGTGTCTATAAATACGGTACTCGACGAGTTAATAGGGGGTGAGCCTATTGCCATATTATACCTGGCACAATTCCAGACTCCATGCTACTACTAAACACCCAGTAATACTTTGGCCGACCCGGGAATTGATCTCTCCAAGATTGCTTGTGTCTACTTGCACTTGTGACTACTCGGCCAATGAGGCAGTTTTATGGAAATGTTACATACATTTAAGCACACACATACTATAATATTATTTTTGTTTGTAGGGTCGCCCCTTCTATGCAGTGCAGGGGCGAGCACTATGTGAAAGGGACTACTTGGATACTTTAGAGAAATGTTGTGTATGTGGCGATCCTATCCTGGACCGCATCCTGCGTGCGACAGGCAAACCTTACCACCCTCGTTGCTTCACTTGTGTGGTCTGTCAGAAGAGTCTTGATGGAATACCATTTACAGTAGACGCAGTCAACCGTATTCACTGTATTGAGGACTTTCATAAAAGGTGGGTCTTGTTCTTTTACCTGATTACACAAACCTCTGAGCTTGCACCATGCTAAGTACTGTACCCTGTAACAGTGATACTAACAATAACTTGCTAATAGTGCCACTTTATTTAGCTGGCAAAGGGAAGTTCAAAATTAATAACTGCATTAATTGCTTTGGCCAACTATAATCTGGTACTGTATTAATAAAGTACATCAGTATGAAATAATAATTATTTTATCACCTATAGATATGCGCCGCGCTGCGCGCGTTGTCGTGAGCCGATCGTTCCGGAGAGCGGCGCAGAGGAAACTGTTCGCATCGTAGCTCTAGATAAGAGCTTCCATGTTGCGTGCTACGCCTGCGAGGACTGTGGGACCTCACTGTGCTCTAGGCAAGAGGGCCGCGGCTGTTACCCTCTCGACGATCATCTCTATTGCAGAGAGTGCAACGCTCGCCGCATTCAGGATCTCTCTAGGAATATTAACTAACTTGTTTACCCTGTAGCACTGTTATCTTTGGAAAGCAAACATTTTGTGGCTAAATATGGCTTGGAATTGTGTCACTGTTATTGATACGATTAGTAGATCGCGTTTTATAACTTTCGTGACTTTAAAATAATTTGTAGCATGCTATATATAGATGTTTATCCATTTCGAATGTAACAGAAGTAAATACTTTTAATCGTTAGTTTGTTTCAATATTCAAATCATGTATAAATAATAAATATTGAAGATTCACCTCGCGCTGTTTAGGTTGCTGTTACACCTAGAATGTAAAAATGTTAGGTAGCCTTCTCAGTTTTAATTAATTTGTATATAATTTATCGGCGATATTACTTAAGTGTGTAAGAAACATAGAGTAAGTGAACAATGTTGACTAAACATTCCATGATGCATTTATTTGATATAAGGCTGTGTAGCTCTGACCATTTATCATTATTATACAGTATTATAACGTTAATTAGCGACTTTGTGATTGTGCTTAGATTATTGCGTTATGTTTAGTAAGTTGGTGCAAAACAGACCATTGTATTGTACCTAACTACCTGTTATAATTGTGCTTTGTACACACTTGCCAAGAAGACAAGCAAAATTTTGCAATTATATATAATTAAGCACATTCCGTATTCATGGTGTGCAAGTGTGTGCAAGACTGTATAAATAGTGCCATGTTTATTATGTATAGTTTTATTGTTAGGTTGTCTTTTATTCAGTTATCAAACTGAATAACTTGTGTGCGAAGATTTCGTGTCTTATTTGCAGTGTACTTAATTTGTGTTAATTAGTTAATGAAGAAACAATGGCATGTACATAATAATTACATATTATTTTCTCTGTAAGTAAGAGAAGGTAATGTAAATCTATTATACCATCTATATAAACCAATCCCATTACTCATCACTCCATGCCATTCAAATACAAGAACATAAATATCCTAGAATGCAATTGATTAATGTACATTTTTCCTTTATTTTGTGATCTAATGAATCTCGCTCCAAATAATTTCTAATATTTCCTAGATATTATTTGATGATACCACCTAATTAAATATAGGGAATATTTGTAAGTTTTGATAAAATCCAACTTTTATACATACAAAACAGAAGCTGTTTACGATTTTTTTTTATTAATTTAATATTGAAACCTTGTATTTTACTGGCATATTCTATATATGAGCCTATCAAATGTTAAATGTTAGAAAGTAGAATGAATTTTACATGTAGTTGAACTTTTTAGGCATACTAGTCATCATTTACTATTTGTATGCTGCTATTAGTGAAAATAAAATATACACATTAAACTTATTTGTATTATTTAAAATGAAACAAAATTTCACAGTTTAATTCTATATTTCTCAATCCACTCTTTGGAACAGAGTCACCTTAAAAAAACTTAACTACATACTTCAATTAATTACAAATAACCAGAAGACTTTGGCTTCTCAAGAAAATTGAACAAACTTCATTAAATTTTACATTCACCTTCACAATAATTATGTATGTATACTATCAGCCAAGCAGTCTTAACAACATACACTCTGATAACTTACAAGAATATTATTATTTCAAATAAACATATAACCACGAGAGTTTCATAACTATTGGTGACAGAAAACTAAGTGAAGTAGTCTCCTATCTTATGTTATATACTCAGTCAATTTCCTGTCTCATAGACCAACTATTTACACAATCCACTTATCAAATACACCAATGTTTTGTGTGTGACAAAAATAATGTTTACCAATGGTAAATGTGAACTAAAACCAGATATTTCCTAAGAGCAAAACTGAAGGCTTGAAACGTCAAATTCATACTCTTACAGAGATTCAAATAATTAATTTATAGCCAGTCTATAAGTTTCTAATCAGTGCCCGAGTAATATAAGACAATATTTACAAACGCTTGGCGACAATAATTGGGCATTAATATTAAAATAGAAAAGCTTCATCATCAAACTTAAATGTAGACAAAAATGTAAGGGGAACACATTCACAATAATCCTGTCTCGTAAAAGTTTAATCAAGCAACATTCAAATCTTGCAATGCATACAAATAGTCGTTAAATTAAATTTAACATGTACAAGAACATTATTTGAACTGAAGGGAATGTTATGGTACGCTCACTTGCATCAGTAAACCACAAAAGCTACTGTTTTATTAATACATCAGTTCACACGTCTTTTTACAACATTCATATTATAATTAAGTTTGCGGTCAAAAACAGAAAGTTACCTCATTTCACGCAATGTGAGATTAACATACAATAAACATCAATAAATTTTGTAAGCAAGTGCATGCATCTTGCACATTTTCATATTGTACAATGGGCGCTCATGTTTTTATAGTAGTATGTATCTTGAACTTACTTCATCACCACGTTACATTTTTACAAGAATACTGAAGTGCTTAGTAGCAGTAATGTATATGTGCTATGCTGTGAAAAGTAAATACAAGTCAATTTATTTTTCATTAACATTAGACCAATTAATTAAATTTAGATCTTACTTTTACTATGTTTTAAATCACTTACTGAATTATAATAAAAATATAACCTACTGATCTGAATACACATAGCCATCAACATCAAAAAAACTGTTTACTAGAGGTATGTTATATTTAGAATTTCAAATGTTCTCAACAGTAAGTGAACAAATTTCTATTATTTCTTAATGGTGCCTGCTAACATCCAATTACACAAAAAATGGGAGTGTTTATGATAAAATGCAAAGACCAAACTCTGGAGTAGCATGAGGTGACCAAATGTGACAGCAATTATAAACTAAATTAATTATTACATAGGCAAACAGCCCTTTAAAGCTTTTCTCCAATATCTGCTACGAATATCTCTAAAGGCAGAGTTGAGGAGTTACTGCTACAGAGCTAGACAGAAGTAGTGGCGACTTCTGAGACAATGTAAGACCGGTAGTGCGGTAGAACGGTTGATTCATCTAAACGAGGACTTCCGTCGCTCAGCCCGTTCAGCATGCGGGTCCCACTCGGCGTCGTCCGGGTCGTCGCCGTCGAAGACACTTTGCTCGGCGGGGGACAGCGTGCTGGACGAGTCGCTGTCGGGCGCGTCGGGCGGCGCGGGCGACGGCAGCGACGGCGTCGCCGAGCGACTCGCGTGGAACCCGCTCGGCATGCTCGCCACCATGCGCTGGTACTGCTCGTCCGCCAGCGGGAACTGACGCGGCGTGTACGGTCTCACTGTCTGGAGTAACATTCGAAGTTAACGTTAGTCAAGCGTGATCGTTAGTAAATCAAGCGGGCGAAGTTATTTTCTGACATATTTACAGTAGAACTCATTGCAGTTTTATAGAAAAGTGACTGTATTATAATTTTATATCTTCCTTAGGAAATCTCTCCAATCAACCTTCCAGTTGAGCTACTAGTGGTCGATCAAGTGTTAGTTAACCATATTTTACATACATAACAATTTATCAATGATATTCTTAGCAAGTTATTTCAGTAGCAGAACAGGTTGAGAGGTGCCAGCATATTAAAATAGTTCCCATGTTAAATTAAACGATGGGGAAAGAAATGTAGAAATGTCTAGAACTGTGGACTGTAGTTAGTGGAGTAGGTATGAGTAGCAAGTGAGTAGTATAATATAGGAACTAGCCTCGTGTTGCGGTGGCGTGGGTTGTCGCGGCGGCGGCGGGTCTTGCAGCGGCGTGGCGGGCGGCGAGGCGGGCGCGGGCGGCGCGGGGCGCGCGGCGGCCGCGTGGCGCGCGTCGGCCGTGTCGTGCGTGTCGGTCGTGTCGTGCGCGTCGGCCGCAGTGTCGTGCTGGTCGCGTCGCGCGCGGCGCTTGCGTACATAGCGCGCTCGCTCGCGGCTCTCTGCGCGCCGATGGCGGAGGGATACTGCCGCCTCCGACACATCCTCCTCCTGCATCATACACATGTACTAAACATAAAACGCTCGCTTAGTTACAATAATAATTTGAAGTTGCCTCATTAGCCGAGTGGTCGCAAATGCGACTCCCTGACAAGGGGTCTCGGACTCATTTCTCGGGTCAGCCTAAGTATTACTGATTTTTTATTAAATACATATTAGTGATAGCTCGGAGTCTACAATTGTGCTCGGTATATGGCAATAGGCTCATCCCCTATTAAATAGGACTCATAACATAAATAGTGCAAAGAGGGTGTTGCATTGTACAGTGGCATTAAGTGCCATGATGTGCACCTCTGCATACTCCTTCGGGAATAAAGGGTGTGATGTTATGTTATGTTTAAAGTGATTGCATTAAAAATGATATACTTTACATAAATGAATCTTACCTCACTCTCGATGGACATTTGACGATTCGTCTTCATAACACCATTATTTAACGGCGCCTCCGGAATCTCTAACACTCGCCATCTATAAAGTAAGTGCTCCAGGATAAAATACATTTACAAGATTTGCTTCTAGCAAATAATGTAAAATAAATCTTAATTAAGTGGTAAGAATGATCTCTATGCGCACTGTAATAAATTAGTGACTTATATAATTATTAACTCGTTGAGTACCGTCATTATAGACACAATAAAAGAACAAGAAGTTGCGGTCACCGGTGTCCTCGCGGTGTTTGACAGTTTATAGTAATACATACTTGGGTGTGATAATCTCCTTGTAGGTGAGTATCTGCGGGCGCGTGTTGGCGGCCACGCTCTGTGGTATGACGATGTTGTCGATGTCGTACGACTGTCGCCGCCACGAACGAGACTCTGTACTCGACCGGCCACGGGCTCTGACACAATATACATTTTATTACTTGATGAGTATACAATATAGTTATCTTGACCATAGTGATATAAAATAACCATGTGAATAAATCTGTCTAAAACAGAAGGACAAACACAATCAACAAATGCTTCTAACTCTACTGGTGTTGTTGATGTCCATGGGCGGCACAGATTGCTTATCATCAGATGATCCAGCCGCACATTATCTGTTACCACAAAAAAATTACCTTTCATGGCCTGATGTAGTTTCTTCATCTCTTTCTCTCTCCTTTACTTTTTTCGTTAGTGGCGGTCGACCCCTTTTCGATCCTGAAATATGGAAAAGTAAAATAAATTTTATTTTTACAATACTAGTATAAAACGGTACTAGATGACTAATTTTTATTTTAATGTCCGTCTGGTAGATTATTGTAAAACATTAGACACGTATTTTTTTTTTACAGAAACGAATACTTTCGACGATATATTGATTTGAAATGTCGCGTGTCGTCACTTCTGTGTACATTTTATACGTAGAAATGACGTTTTAGCCCCCACTCCTAAACTTTGATTCGTTATATCTAAGTATTAATTCATTATACAACAAAATAAAAAAATACGTGTCTAATATTTTTTTATTATCTAACTGACGGACTAATTAGATTTTCAATTTTCAAACCCCGTTATCATTCCTATTAGAGGAAAGAGGATTCAATGGAACGTTAGAGAAGTCACAACCGGCAACAAACTAATTAGGAACAATATTTAATAATTTTATTTAGATTTCTATGGTTAATTTGAAGGTTTAGCAGAGAGTAGAACATAACAAGGGCAACAAGATGACGACGATTAAACAAAGATATAACTTACGTGGGGGATGTCGTTTGAGAGACTTTGACGTGTGCGTGTTGGAGGACGAGTGCGCGCGGCCCGAGCTGGACGCGGCTTGCGACTGCGGCGCGTGCGACGCGTGCGGCGCGTGCGTGGCGTGGGACGAGTGCGGCGCGTGGGACGAGTGTTGGGCGCCGCGCCACGCGCGCCCCGCGCGGGGACGGAACCACGCGCGGCTCGCCAGCGCGGACAAGTGCAGCGACGGGGACATGTCTGTAGAACAATCATACATAAACATTTCGTTTCACACATAAGCTACAGAGTACATTTCAGTATTAATGTTGGCGTATAATTATATTACTTAACTCATTAAATCTCACACTATGATACTCATTTACTTCGTATAGCTGAGGCTAAAATATTGTGACGGTATGTGATTGCAAAATGGCAAAATTTGTTAGTCAGTATTTGAAATATAGCCACACAAACATTTGTCAATTATAGGTCCAGCTCCCAATATTTCCAATTACAATTTTACTGATTTATTTTTACACCTTTGATATCACTAAGCACAGGATGGAAGCCAGGGTCGACAGCGGCAATGCGAAGACGAGGCGGCACGGTACTGAAGGGTGGGGCAGGCTGGGTCGGCTCCGCGCGGCCTGTGCACACTGCACAACTCTCCAAGCCTTGCTCACAGCTGCACCTGTGCATCAACATTTACATTAAAGAAAAATATGCATTGGCAAATATACTCGCAATATTTGCATGTAGTAAAACATCTCAAAATCATTGTAGGCCTTGAAGTAACAATGCTAGAATGTTACTAAGTACTTAGATTGACTAGAATACTAAGCTCAATTACGTGTAATGAGTAATGACTAACTTGATATCTGATGGTCGAGCAGCCTTCTGTGTGGCGATGTGTAAATTATGCATTTGCAGTAATTTCCTCTTTTTGAAGGTCTCTCGTCGCAGCGGACGCACGCGAGCACAGGTCTCATGCGAAGGATGGTCATCAGGTAGCTCAGAGCCCGGCAGGGAACCTTCATAGGCGGCTGGTTCGCCTTCAAACTCCACTCGTCCTTTTGCTTCACGGACCTAGAAAATAACGATGACATGATATGATTATTGATTGTAAGGTTACCTTGTATTGGTTGATCACCAAATTCAGAGCATAACCGAAAATTTTCGCTGTTGTGGAGTCTTTAAATAATAGTATGGTGTACAGTAATAATCACGTAACGTGGGTATAAAATCTGCACCTCTGACTACAATCATTCAGGTATAAGGATATCATATTTTTACAACAAAATATAATTAATTAAATTACAATTATCAATACCGTGAGACAGAATAATACATTAGGGAAATCTAATAAAATGACTCAACTATCCCAAAACTCAGCGGATTAAAAAAATCAGCAACGGCACGTCATTGTTGAATGTGGCCTTGAGTTTGCGGCATGCGCGCGAACTATAACTTGTTTAAACATGTTACCCTAGCTAATACGTCAACTGACACAGTATTTATTTATTACAATATTATGGAACAGTTTATTCATTGTTCTGCAGCTGTTGTAAATAATTTGGATTCAAATAGATCATTCAACAATTAATTCGTAGTGAAAGATTTTTTATGGTGTTGCTAAGCTTCGAGTTTTGCGCTTTGAATAATATGAAATATTTGAAATCTAGAAGACTACAGTTACCTACTTAGAAGAAGACATAACATCAAGCCTTATAATATAGTAGTAGTCATAGAGAGATAGTAGATAGAGAGATGTATAATGTGCAGATCTACAAATTTCACAATAATTCATGTTATGAATCCCAAGTATTAGGGGTTGCTTGAGCGAAGCAGTCATGCCAGCTAAGGAGGAGGCGGGGCGCGTGAGGGAACGAATCTACTCGCGTAGCGAGAGACATTGTGGGCGTGGATTCGCGAGACGATCTCCGGCCACCGTCAGCACAGGCCTGCGGACGGCGAGCATGGGTGACTCATCAGCTTATCAGACTACCACAGACGGGGCTCAATAGGGCTGATGCCGATATGGAGCCGCGGAGGACTTAACGGGTTGCCGGGGGTTCCAGCTCGAAGTGCCGGAGTAGGAACGGGGTGGTTTTTACTTAATACGAGTCTGACCCCTCTCGCCTCACCCGGGCGAAAGAAGTAATTGGATGATCATCCTCGCTCAAAAAAATAATGGTTAAGAGTAAGCCTACTTGTACACACATGTTTATGTAAATCATGTAAAAATAAAGATTTAAATAGATGACTATACACTATGACTAAAGTATCGAATTATTTTCCTCTCCACCTTATAAACAGAATCATCATCGTCAATATCAAAAACACTACATACAAAGTTTTAGAGGTTTTTGTTTAAAATATTATGTTATAGTACTTTCAGATTTTATTTATTTTAAATTGTGGCGTCACAACATTGACACATCATTCATTCAAGCTATGTAGGTATGTAACCTTTTAAATTTAAGATAAAAGGTTAAGGTCTAGGCAGAAGTAATATGTGGTCATGGAGAGGTTTATCAAAATCACTCATTACAGATGAAAGCTCATTGACCTCTATATCTTCTAATTAGATTTTTTTTTAACTTGGACTTTTTGGTACAAACATTACATCTAAGGCTACATAATTAACAAAATAAATTATTCTTACAACAGTGTGTGTTATCTAGTCAAAACATTAGTTACAGAAGTCTAGATACAGGATTATAAAGGACAGTTTTTCTTTATACATACACATACATGTAACTTAACATTGATATGTTTCACTCACCTGTTTGTGCAGTTCATTATGTTGCCTGATCCTATACTCTAACTCCTGAACTTGGGCTTGCAGCCAGCACCAGCGAGAGGCAATTGACGCCCGGGAGCGTTGCCACGACCATAGCGCGCGTTTCTCACTGAAACAAGATAATAACACTGTCAGTACATGAATTTGTAATTTATGTATTGTGAGATTTTGCTTGCATTCTCAGGATAAAAGTATTGTAAGTATTCCAGACAGGTTATAACCTGTCTCTGAGCCGAATTACATTCAGATCTCTTCAGTAGTTTTTGTGTCAAAAACTAACAAACATATCCTATCTTCGCAAACTTAATAAACTTTTGTAATATTAGTAGAAAGATTTTTTATCTTAATGGGAAACCACTGTAACAGAGCCTAATTAGATCAGCCAAAAGTGATTTTATTTCATTCATTATCTTAAGAAAATCGAATTTAATCTTCAAACCACACTCTAATTTGTTTATTTAGAGTCAAATTCAAGAGGCAGGGTCAAACTCGACACCATTATTATTATAAACATTATAATAGCAAGCTCTCCAATCTTAGCTCATTTAGGTACTTAAGTAACAAGTAGGTATGGGTGAAGGTTTAGCTAGCTCAATAAAAAATTATAAAACACAAAATGCTAATTAAAATTGTAATTAGATAATACATTTACTCTGGTGTTTAGCCAGCTAATATGTATATTATTAGAATTAGTCACCATTTTGCTTACAAAATAAACAAGTTAGCAATTACTTTGAATTCCATAGTTTATATTGGAAGAGCAGAGCTACAAAACTAATATAATAGAATTATTAAAACTCTAATCCAGTTGACTACATTCAAATAAGATGCACATTAAAACCCAAAAGATTCTCTAAGTTTATAATAATAATATGTATGTATATTCACTAATGTAGGTATGTATATGATTATATTATGTATAGTTTACCTACATTCTAAAACAATGAAACATTGATACAAACGATCTTTCTATCAATATTATTAGTGTGAAAGCTTGTGAGGATGTATTGACACAAAAAGCACACATGCTACTACTAGATTGAGCTCTAGAATAACATATGGGCCAGTTTTTATCCCATGAGAATACAGGTAAAGTCACTAGCAGAAGCTTGTATAGAATAAACTCCAAATTACAGAAAGTGAGACCACTTATAAAATCTAAGTTTTTTAAGTTTGGAATGCAGGAGTTAGATGGATATTTTTTTATCATTACTAATGAATTACTGTGACACATTTTATGATACTAATTTATCTTAGTCTCAAATAACATAATTAACTATGTTATTGAAGACTTGGTTTCCATATAAAGAAAAAAACTATGTTAAAAATCTGAATAAGGTCAAGGTTTCACTTTCAATATCAAAAAAAATCATACAGGTAATAAATATTATTGTTTCACAATCACAAATGAGCATTTTCATTTGACAATTTAGTAGGTAAATGTAACCACTAAATGAATAAATAATAATTAATAAACAATTACTGGGTAATTGTATAATAATATAATATATTCAAGTTCCCTCATAAAAATCAATGAGGTTCTTATTGTTCCCTCTTATTGTATTGTGAACCAGAAATGAGATTCCAACAGGTCATCAACCCTTGTAACCTATAAAACTGTATCATGGATATTACAGCATACTGATATGAATCTGATAAACTCAACAAACAAGATATCCAACAAAAGGTCTAAATTTTGACTAGGTTTAACTTAACACAGCATTCTTCATTCAATTACTTAGGGTCAAATGAAATGATGCAATATCATAGAAGCATGTGAAAGTGACAAACTACAAAAGAAATTATACCTATTTAAAGGTAGTTAAGTAGTCATTATAGAGCCAACAGAATATTAATAATTAATTATACTGTTACTCAAAACATATTTGGTACATTGTAAATTAGCAGGGTCAATCATGTACCAGCCCAACATCCTGTCAATCAGTACAAATATACCTTCTGTACCAAAACTATCATAGCAGAGATCAAACACTGACAATAGGAACTGAGATATACATCATCACCCTGCTTTATTGTTAAGGATACACTATCCTGACCTTCCATTTATCTACTATTTACATCTTAACAGTATTGAGGAATGCAAGATCAAAACATGGAGATTACTAAAATATCACTTACATTGGCATCTGCTGTTGATGTGGGTTATTGTAGGTGACAGCCTCATCATTACTCTCAGCTCCTGATGATGACAGGGTGGCATCAGAGTCCAGCTCGTGTTTTACCACGGATAGGTGTGAACGTAGTGCTCCTGCAGTATCTTCCAAGCCTGTCAGTGTACCGGATGGTATGCCAATACTTGCAGATTTTGATGCATCACCTTTAGATGTTCCAGGGTTATAGTACTTAGGGCCAACAACTGTCCTCGATGCTGCACTAGCTTGTAATGCAGATGTTGTTTCTACAGTTTTTAAAAAAGTTTTCAAACCCACTGGTCTACCACCACCACTGTCCTTGCGGACACCTCGTGTACATTTCTCAAAAGACTGAGACGCTTCTTCAGATACTTTTTTCCCAATAGCACGAGCCTGTAATATTCTTAATCGTCTTTGTAAGAAAGAACACCTTCTCTCAAGACGCAGCTGCATGACTTTAATCTTTTCTTCCATAGCATCTCCTTCTGAATCTGCGGGCTCTGCCAACTCAAATCCAGATAGAGGAAATATTGCCTCTGGGTCATCAGTAGACAGAGCTTCTCCTCCAGAAAGTGTGTCACCACCAGTTTCTAGGGTCTTTATAGCTTGAAGCAAATCTCCTTGTTGCTCCAGATCACTGTTTCCCAAATCAACCAAGATCTGCTCCATCTCTTGAGAGTCTTTAGCGAGACTAGGCTGATTCTGTGGTCCCATATCATCTTCATCCATATGTGGTGCGAGGTTATCGACGGACGCAAGCGCCCGCCTTCGTTGACTCAGTGGCCGCTCTATTTCTCCAAACAAATTAGAGTCGTGGATGTGCGGCTCTCGGGATACTATAGACAATGCTGGTGCCATGACCTGCACCTCGCCCGCCGCGGACGCTGGCGCGCTCGCCGCGTCAGGGCGGGCTTCTTCTACAGTTCATTGCGACCTTATGTAACACTAATAAAGAGTTCACAGCACTGGCACTACACTCAGTTTCACTAAAACACAGTTTTTGACCACCATTGTCCATGCAGTTAGTCCCCTGCCGGTTCCATTACGAGCCAAATAGAACGGCGGGTCGTCAGCGACTCGGCGCGCTTCTGAAAACAACGTTTATGAAGGGTTATGAACCGGTTTTTTTTCTATTCACACAACTCAGTGTCACTGTACACAACCATTTTATGTAAAAAATGAAAAATTGAATACAAAAAGCTGCATAATTCGAAATTTAACCCACGTGATAACGAAAAGAGTACGCTAGTGGTCGTAGTTGCTTGTTTCTATACGATATGAAACAGGAAATGATACACTTCCAAAACACTTTCGGTGCTCACAATTTAGTAGATTTTTGGACTTGACTACATTACACTCGCGTTTAGCTGATAGTATAGCATCTAAATAATGACAATGAAGTTTTTTTTTAGTAATAATGGCGGAACCAGGCTAAAAAACACTAGCGAACTGGGTAGGTAAGGTACTCATATCCAGTGACGAAACGTTTTGCCGCACACAATTTCGTTCGCGGAGAGTAAGTTGTGCAAAAGAGATAGCAAGCTTGTCCTTGGGCTAGTACCTGCGCGGTAAAGTCAAATTAATTATCAAATATTAAACGGCACACATATTTATAAAATTATTTGCTTCTATTTAAAATTTAATTTAATAGACTCTTTATAAAATATTTGTACTTTTTGTAATTTATATTTTTCTTTAACAATACCCAAACGACTAGGATCTTTGCCGCCACACAACAATCAATAAAGTGTTTCGTTTACGTCATTTTGCAGTACGTACTTTCAACACTTTGATTTTAATATTGAAATAAACTAATTAATTAAAATAGACGTATATCATTAAACAATTACTAATTACATAACATTTTTACATAAAAAGTTATTCAAGAAATAAAAGATTGCATTTCCGGTCGCTTGGAAAATCATTATTGCGTTTCAGATAATCGTGTTACTGAGTCTTTAGCATGAATAGACAGACTGAACGTTTCTTTCAACGTTTCGTTTAGTCTGTGCGTTTAGTTATCCGTTATATTCTTATCAGTCAGTCAGTTCGCTTGGGACGGCAGATAATATTTTTAGTTACTATGATTTCGCAATAGGTATTATCTATTTGCGTTTACAGAATTTAGTTTTAACAATGGATTTTAATGGTAACTGTACACGCGTATATATAGCATGATGTTGAATTGAATTGACAAAAAACAGAGTTCAGTTTCCTTTGTTCGTTGAATATGTGATATTAGGTACATTTCATTGTAGGTACTTTATCTAGATTGATACTTTTTTACCCACAGATTTCGTGTATGAAATTATGTATTTAAGGATTATTTATCGAATTTTAATTTTTCCTTTTTACATGATAGTTTATGATTAAATGATTAATAGGCGTTTTTACAGGTAATAAGGCATTATGTTTTTTGAATGAGAAAGAATGCGTAAATACCGAATTTTGTAAGTATTTGGTATTTTTTATATAATACAACAGAATATCTATAATAACTCAGACCAAGACCTGTATAAAAGCAATCACATTAGATATATCTACTGAATAAAACTAATACCTACCTACTTTAAGAGCTAAGTTTTGATAAGAATACTCTTGAACAGGTGTGACACAAGATTTTTAAGAAATACCTATGGTTAGTAGTACCTGATAAAATTTGTACAATTATTTTTAATTATCATCCACCTTGTGTAATGTACTGTTTTTACATGTAATTAGCTAGAAATATTTTAAAATGACAGTTCAAATTTACAATAATTTTATGGACTATGAAAAATAAATATGAACCTGAAGCGGATATTGAAACAGTTAAATGTAATTTAGTCTTTGATCTATCAGTTAAAATGTATTATTTTATAATAACTTATTTGTAATGAATTAGTATATCTTTCCTTTTAAATAAAATAAAAGATTAATAGAGCACAGCATCAATAAAAATACACTAAAGTGTAACATAATAATAGGTACAGATACACCTAGTCTAAGAAGGTGGCCCGTCTGCATCAATATGATGCTGGTTACTTCAGCTAGTTTCTAAAGCTACCTTAAATATATATTTTTAGGAATATTGACATCCATTTCGAATTCATTCTTTAACTTTCACCGAAGAACCAATTTTCAGATTTTACAGATGAACAATTTCACCATGCTAATTGTTTTAGATTACAGTTAATTAGTTTTAATGCATTTTGATATAATTTAATCTAATAAAATACTTCATCACAACTAGGTAGGTATCTGATGTCAAAAAAATCTTACCCATGGTTAAGAACCGGTAGACAGGACCTCAAAAATATGTATACCTACAGAATATTTCTTCTCAAGAATAGAACTGAGTATTATAATGACTAAATCAACCCCTTTTTCATACATACCTCTGATACTTTGAACATTGGTGTTATATCTTGTGCTTCCAAGTTGCAGTATAGTAAGGGTTGTTTTCTAACCCCCATTCTGCAGCTACTTATGTCCTATAATAAAGAAAATTTAATGAATAAACACTGTCCATACAAACTACGAAACTTACAAATAAAATTAAATATTACTGCACTCAATACTATCTTTACTGACAGTTGCCTGACATAGAAGTTACAAAAATAATGTCACTAATGTCAGTAACTTGAAAAAACAAAAATCTATTTTTGTACAATTTGTGATAACATAGTCATATGGCTAAATTAATCTATAAATTCAACACCCTAACACCTTTTGTCAATATTTTTGACTAGGTAATCTTATGAAGTCCCAACAGCTACTAAGCCAGAGAGTTACCTATGATTATTATGAATGCTAATAATACGCTTGTTACTAAGCAAAAAAACAAAAGTATCTCAGAATTATGTTATATGAGTATTAGTAACTTGAATAGTTAACACATACTAAGTCTGTGAGACATATAGTTGCTATACTCATGCTTTAACTTCTTTCATTATCGGTAGTACCTAATTATTTGAAATGACACAATATGTTACGGAATTATATCTTGCAATTCTTATTGTATTTAAATACAGTAGCTATACAAGTATTAAGCAATATTAATCTGTCAAACACCAAGCGGTCACCGGTGACCGCGATCTATTGTTCTTTAATTGTGTCTATAAAACCGGTACTCGACGAGTTAAATATAATGTTGTTTAGTGAAAATATTAATATATTTCCGCTAAGACTAAAATTGAGATTCAACAGGAAACTTTAATCAATTTCAATTTTGAAAAGAATTTCGTTAATTTTCTTACATTAATTTGGTATAGAAACAAACAGATCATAGAAAGTGTACAACTTACATATTCCAATATCACTTTAAAGTTACTTACCTCACAAAATGTTTGTGTCATTTTACCACAATTTTTAGTAATGAGTTTAACTCCAATTCCATCTTTTTAATTACCTACTATAAGATATGTAATATAATTAATTCCTTTCATAACTTATATGTGCATTATATCCAAAGTCATGTACTTAGGTACCATATTGTGAACATTTATTTGATTCCATTAGTTATAAAAAATTGTAAAGATGAATTTAAGTTCTTCTCATACAGGTGGGAACTAATTGTGTTACAAGAATTATAATGATATTGTGTTATATTCTAATGCATGAATAACAATGATTTGAAATGTATTCAACCTGGTACGTTAATTTTATGTTTTCTTTATATTTGCAAACATAATATGAAAATAAAGTAATTTTGTGTTAAAATGTAAAAAAATATAATCTATGCTAGTTGATATCTCTAGCAAACACATTGAGCACATAATTATTGTAACTACATTAAATAGGTTTATATAGGCTGAAATGGGCTTGTACCAAGGTATTTTATATAAAATGTTTATACTTACAAAGTACCTTAGTACAAGTTCAATGGCTGTGAATTAATAATGTGACTGAGTAATTTTACAATAAATCTGATACAGTTCCACTGAAACTGTTCTAGTAATTAAATCCCCAGGTGTAAAATATTATGATATTATTTTTACGTATACATAGAAGTCAAAGAAACCAGCTATTGAAATAGATACAAAGTTATGTACTTATGAGCTAAATAAATAACTGTAAATTTGAAGAAAAATACAATATTTAGATGATTTTTTGACATACCTATATTTGGAAAAAATAATTTTATTTATTCTTACCTTATACGCAACGACCAACGACGATATTATTATAGAGAGGGAATAGGGAATGGGGAAAGATAAAAGTGAAATGTAAGTAGTTATGGATAAAAATATGTACCTAGATACTGTCTGAACAAGTTACTTCGTAAGAAGTTTTATTATCAAGTTATTAGGATATGATCATTATTTTGAACTATGCTATGTCTTTTTAATTTTTTCTAATTTCTTTACCTTCTTCCAGAACTGCAAAGTGTTGAGGCAATGATCAACGAAACGAATGAAACGAATCAACGAAGTGAACGAACGTTCTAAAACTTTATAAATAGCTATAGTAAACATAATTACAACATTATGTCTAATATGCTTTGAATTAATGATCAATTTGCTATTATCTTCTTAACTAACTAATAAAAATATATTTACATATTTTCTGATCCAAAATCCAGTAATTTTTTCTTCAATGTTGTCCCATATTTTAACTTTATATCTTGCGTTTGAACGTACCACATAAGGTAGTGTTGTCAAAAATACTCTCAGTTTGTCAAAATTGTCAATTTGCTGTCAACGTTCGGCGCGCTTAGATAGCCGCTAACCTTTAACTGTTTTGTGTATCATTAATTCGGCCTAAGTTGCTATCCGAAATGGCCAAAAGTTTTGATAGAAGTCTTCAGATGCATACAACGCAGTTTACACCTTTGAAAAATCGAAAAAATAGGCAGTTATTAGCGAGGGAAGATACCTTAAACCTATCGCCTATTTTGAACGAAACCTCTATATTCAAAAATCTCAACGATACCAGCCTAAGGCAAGTGCTTGATGAATCTTCAATAATAGTGAATCCTGGAGTCTCTGCCGAAGGTTTAAGCGAAGCATTCTTTGAAATAATACAGACGAGTCGCCCAAGTGATGTCTTAGACACGCTAGCGAGGTTAGCACAAGTATGTTGTGATTCTCTGGAACTGGTCGAGCCATGGAACAGGTATAATGCACAAAACTATTGGCTGGCTGAAGAAGCTAACACATGGAAACTGTTACATTGTTTATATGCTGACTCTATAACTGAACATCCAGAATCTTTAGACAATTTGGTAACTGAGACTACATTATCTCAGCAAACCTTGGTGAATGCTTTGTTTAGGAGTGACTCTGAATTAAGATTGCTGCAAGTGCTAGTTGATTGGCTAGAAGCTACTGCAGCATACCAAGAGGAAGCTACAAAGACTTCAGCTCCTATAATAAGCAATAATATTCATTGGGGAAACACTTTACATCAATTATTACTTGGAAATAGCTTGTTTAATAAAGAGAAGAGCAAAGCAATGGTTACTTGTATGGATCCTGATGCACCAAGACGTCAAAAGAAAATAATACACTCAGAAGATCAAAAGGATGATAATGATTTGTGCAAGCGCATATTTACTGAGGTTAGGTGTGGCAAGTTCAAAGATGCCGTCTCCTTGTGTATTAGTGCTGGGCAGGCATGGAGAGGAGCTGTTCTGCAAGGGTGGATATTACTTCACTATTTACCACAAGAAGAACCCAATTCTGCTTTAGAAATAAGCGGTAACCCATCAAGAGATTTGTGGAAATGGTGTTCATTGGGACTTGCTAATAATACAGCAGAGAACATTCACTACAGAGCTACTGTTGGAGTTTTATGTGGTCATCTTGCCAGTACACTCCCAGCTTGTCAAGGTAGTTGGGAAGATCTTCTCTGGGCTCATCTAAGGGCACAAATTGAGGCAAGAGTTGATAAGTTTTTACATGAGCATCATCTTACAGTTGATGCTAGCACAACACCACCAGATGTTTTAGAACTCTTACAGTCAGAGCTGCAGGTTGATGAATTGACATTACAACAGATTTTTAGTGCTGTAAAAGCTTTGATGGATGGTAAAAAAGAATCTTTATACCAAACTTGTCAGCGTCACCTTATGCTTGGTCATGTTCGAGCCATCATGCAGGATTCTTTGCAATGGATTGACAGCTGTGATGACAGGTTTATTCGATTTTTGGCACACCTTATTCTAATTTTAAGACAAATGGGTAAAGATCCACAACATGATATCGGGGATAAAATTCTGGAGAAATATGTTACAGAACTTGTGAGTAAATTAATTGATGGGTCTGTGGAATGTCCCAAGCTCATAGCATATTACACTTCTACTGTTCCTGTAGCCAGACAGACTGTACTGTATGCGGAACTGATGGATCACATCAGCAAAAGTGAATACAGAGAGGGGGTTGTAAAAGCAGGGCTCAATGCTGGCATTGATGTGGGTGCTTCTGCTAGAGTTGCTATAAAAAAAGCAATTGCAGATATTCAACAGGGATATGGTAATCTAGATTTGACTTTCACTCAAACTACAGCCGTTGAAAAGGATAAGACCTTAATTCAAAAAGTTATATCATCTCTTGAATGGTTATCTCTTATATCAAATCAAGTTGAAGAAGCCTTGTGGCTTAGTAATGCTATGATTAGAACCTTCATTTTTATTGGTAATACAGATGCTGCTTTAGCTTGTGTTGTTAATGTCAACAAGATGTTCCCAGATTTTCTAAATAAAATATCTTCTAGCTCAGCGGAACTGAGAGAACATCTATGTTTGAAAGCCTATTTGGAAGCATTAGAAGGATTTGCTACTTGGTACAGACATTTTATCAGTGGTCAACCTAAAGATGTGGAACCACTTGCTCCAGATGCATCATTTTCTGATAAAGTGCATCATGAACAAAGATGTGCTCAAGTGGAGCAACAAAAATCTCGTTGGCTGAATGCTGTACAACATCAAGCAAGACACACAAAAAATTTACTGTACAATGTTTTACTGTTCCCTGGTGGATGGCTTCAAGATGAAAGTGATAGTACTACTTCTGAAAAGTTCAACGATGATGAAAAGCAGGAAAGAATTAAACAGTTGGAGACTTTGAGACGGCTTTGTATTCCTGAAATTGTCGTTCTGATTTTAAAGATTTTGCAAAGTACTGAGGACATTGAAAGTCATAAAGAAGCTTTGAAGTTATGTGACCTCATTGCTGCAGAAAACAGATGTTTGTACAAGGTGTTTACTAAGAGCAAGATGATGGAATTCTTGGACAGGATTAAGGAATCGTCACTAATATTAATTGAAAAAGGAAGAGATATGTTTGGATATGAAATAATTGAATAATTGTCTTTTTGTTCTATTTTTAAAATAAATATTTGTATTAACATTATATATATTATTATCTTTTTTTACATAATGAATGACATAGAGTATAAAAATATTGAACAAACTTAAAAGTTACTATTTACTAGTGGTGGGACTAGGGTACAGTCACAGGATTCAAATTGATCAAATCGTTACTAGACTCTGCTAAGTCTGTGATAGAAACTCTGCCTCTTTGTCTAATGAATTTAGCAACATCTTCAAGCTCTTTCTGTGATATGTAAATGAATTTTCCCCTGTCGTCTATAACACCAGTAAGTTCACCAGAAGATTGCAATTCTGTTATCCTGTCGATTGCAGCCTGTGTCTTCAGTTTGAAATGTGCCGCCAGATCTTCAAGCAAAACTACCTTTTGTGCCTGAAAATAATTTGCAGTTTATTATTAGATCTTAATTTATGAGAAATAGTTTAAAAATATTAGATTAGTTCAGTAGGATATGGATAGGATATCCTGAATTTTATTTTAATGTTCATTTGATAGACTAATTTACAACATTAGACACGTATTTTTTCTTTTCCCACAAAATTAAATAGGTACTTTCGATGACATATTAATTTGAAATATCTTGTGACCTCCCACTCCTAAACTTAACTCCATTTCATCTAAGTATTCTAACTTTATATTATTATGAGAAAATAAAAAAGAACATGTATCTAATATTTTTTCATTATCTAACTAGACTAATTAGATTTTTTATATTTCATACGCTGGCTACTCTGTTGTTACCCTACAAGTATTGATCTTATATTACCTTTATGTAGTCAATGAAGTCTTTCAGTAAGTTTTCTTTATCCTGATCGTCATTCTCGTCAAAACCCTCGCCTTCCACAGTAAATGCTGCTTTCATAGCTTCATATTCTTCTTGTTCGCGTCTCTTACGTTCCTCTTCTGCTTTACGCTCAGCTTCCTCTCTCTGACGTTCTTCTTCCTATAAAACAAAATTCAAAATCGTAAATATGGGTAGATGAAGCTTAACTCGTCGAGTACCGGTTTTTAGACACAATTAAAGAACAATAGGTCGCGGTCACCGGTGACCGCTTGGTGTTTGACAGTTTAAATAAACAATAAGCTTAAATAATCACAAATAAAGGTTTCATTTCATTTCATTCATAAAATTAGATTAGGGATTACTTAAACATGTTTGGGCCAAATATCTTTTCTGAGTACACTTTATTAGTTAATTTGTACATTTGCAAGTAAGTATTTGCTACTCTTGGTAGTTAAACAGGCTTCAAAGTATGGTTATACTGTCTTAGTATTATCAAGATAATTTTTATATTTTACCTCCTGTTTTTCTTCAATCTTTTTCCTTTCTTGTTCTAGTTCTTCATCTTTCTTCTTTTTGATCTCTCTCATTTGCTCTTCTGCTTCCCTAGCCTTCTTTTTCTCCATTTTTGCTTCCAGCTTAGCCCTTTTCTGTAAATAAATAAGTACTTATTGCTATTATATTTCCTATTAGTATTAATATGGCAATAGATGCACCCCCTATTACATTGGACTCATAAAATAAATAGTGAAAAGTGGGTGTTACATTGAACAGTGGCATAATGTGCACCTCTGCCTACCCCTTCGGGGATAAAAGGCAGATATGGTTAACATACCTATAGCAGTTTTATGTGAATTGTTATTCTATACTGATATTTTAGTTTTCAATAAAAATGTTACCTTAGCACCCATTTTATCATCAAATTCAACTTTTTGAGTCTCAGTAGGATTATCTTCTTCAACTTCATCTACTACATCTGGTTCCTCCTCGAGAGCCGCAGCTTGGTGTCGAGCAGCTACAACCATAAAATATAGATTTATTATAACAATACTTTATTAATTATTATTGTTGTTACTGTTAAGGCCTCATACCATTGGCTCTCATCCGTGCTCTTTGATTACGAACAGCTTGTACTCTTCCAGGACCTCCATCTCTCTGGGCTACTGCTCTAGGCCTTGCTCCACCTATAAACAAATTCAATAAGAGAAATTGAAACTAATAAGAATGAAAACAATTCTTTTGTACTTGCTCTTAGAGTGAATGCAAAAGCTAAGTAGTGTCATTTGTTAGGGGAGGTAGTTTGTTTCATTCTTCAAGTTTGTGCTGGTAAAGTCAATGTAAATTTCTTACCTTGTGGTTTTATTTGCGATCCTACCCGTAAGAAAGCAACGGATAGTAATACTATAACAATTGCACTAATTATAGCTGCAATAATAAAAGGATCCATGGCTGTTTGGGAGTTAAAATAAATAAACTACACTTAAAAATATTACGTTTACACTTTTTATCACATAAGATTTACAAATTACTTTAGAGAAGAAATTGGACTTAAAATATATTTATTTCTAGCGTGAGAAACATGTTTCTTCCTCGGACAAAAATCGTAACATCTGCGAAAACAAAACGTCACCAGATATTTGTCAATAAAATGTCAAAGGAAGGATGATGAACCAAATGAACGTCGCTTTTTTCTCGATTAAATCTGGAATTAGTGTTTCGATTATTTAAAACTATGAATTTGCATAAAATATCTCCTGAAGTGTGAAATTAGACAAAAATAACTTGTAGATTTTTATATGACAATAAGAAAATAATCTTATTTTTTAAACTGATTGCATCTGTTACGATTTGACGTTTAAAATGTCGGTGACGTGTGTCATGTCATTATAGTTTTTTGCCGAATGTAATACGCTGGAAAAATGGAATTATTCAAAGTTTCTTCGATATTTGCTCTATTTTTCTTCTTAGACGTAACCTCAGCTTTATATTTCCACATAGCTGAAGGTGAAAGAAAATGTTTCATAGAAGAAATCCCGGACGATACGACAGTTATAGGTAAAGCTTCTTCTGGGACCTGCCTTTCATTTTTGTGCCTCGGTATTTTACCTATATTTAGGTGTAAATAATGCTAATTGTATTTTACAGTGAATTACAAAGTGGAGTTATATGATCCGAGATCTGGAGGTTTCATGCCATCGACCCCTGGCATAGGTATGCATGTGGAGGTTCGAGATCCCAATGATAAAGTGTTGATGTCTCGTGTGTACTCGTCAGAAGGCATGATATCATTCACGTCTGTGACGCCGGGAGAGCACGTTATCTGCATGTACTCCAACAGCACATCTTGGTTCAGTGGTTCCCAGCTCAGAGTGAGTATGAGCATACATATTTTAATTTATTGTTTACAAGAGAATATCAATAACAATGTACCCATTTAATATTCCTAACAAGATTAAAACATATCTATCGACCCACCTTTGTATGTTATAAACTCATCTTCAATGGTTATTTAGCACTGAAGCAGGACACTTGTGCAAACAAAACTATGGTTTTATATTTCCTCAATACTTTGAAGGCTTAAAAGATTTTTGCCTAAGTAATTTGCTTATGACTGATTATTTTGTTAAACAGGTACACTTAGACATTCAAGTTGGTGAGCATGCAGTGGACTATGCCAATGTGGCTCACAAGGACAAGCTGACAGAACTACAGCTAAGGATCAGACAGCTGCTTGATCAAGTACACCAGATCACAAAGGAACAGAGCTATCAAAGGGTGTGTTTATATTACTACCAGCATTATAACATATATTCAGATTTGTTCCAATAGGACTGACAGCTATTGTTAGTCTTATTGGAACAAATCTAATTAACCCATAGATCCCCAAGCGGTCACCGGTGACAGCTCTCCACTAATAATATAGGTCAAATAAACCCTCTTTGTAATAAACTTTTTTATCTATGTTTCAGCACCGTGAGGAGCGTTTCAGACAGACTTCAGAGAGCACAAACCAGCGTGTACTCTGGTGGAGTCTTCTCCAAACTGGTGTGCTTGTTGGCATCGGTTACTGGCAGATGAGACATCTCAAGAGCTTCTTTGAAGCCAAGAAATTAGTCTAAATTATTAATAATAAACCATTATAAGTTTAGTCATGTCCTATTATTTTCATATTTCCTGGAAACCAGTGCATTATTTATAACTTCTTATGTTTTGTGAGTGTATTACATGTTGATCTGTATTTTTGAAATAAAACCAAATTATTCTATGAAAGAATTTAATTCTTACATATCACCTAATGGTCTATATAGCTTTTTATTACAATACATCTATTATGCAACATCACATTCTATATCTTATCACTTTGCGTTTAACAAATCTTTTACAGCAGCACTTAGAAATAAGGAATGAATGGGAGCACTTAAAGTTTAAAATGTAAATGTATAATGTAACAGTGTGCAAATATAAGATTTTTGGCCAAAAATACAAAATATTGTTGATCACATAATAAAATGAGGTTTTGTGTTAAAAACAATCTTTTATTTGCCAGCATTTAACAGTTCATAAAAATACCCTTGTTCAATTTCCTCATGATTCCTACAAAATAACCTAATTCTCAACTCTAAATATGCTATCTAAGTAATTAACAAAAATGGATGAATTGGCTTTAGTGAATGGAGTGAGCAAAGTGAAGTCCACCATGTTCAGTGTACTTATTAATGTATCACATGTGCAGTAATACAGGTGAGAGTCAATTTGTAGTTGTTCTGCTAGTTCCAACTGGTGATTGTCCATCAGATCCTCGTTCACAACTACCAGAAGCGGCTTGTTGGCTTCCAAAGCCTCCAGACAGCTGCCAGCCCCGGCATGACTTATCACCAAGTCAGCACTCTTCATATCTTCCTGAATTGAATCTTTAAACCGGTACATATTTATCTTAACGCCCTCCTTCTCCAACACACCAGGTTCCACATTGCTATTACCAATCTGAAATGTTATTTCTTTACAACCAATATTTTTTAACGCCGCTAGCACCGGTTCAGTCAAAATATAGTCGCAAAGTAAATCAAATCTCGTTGTGCCGACTGTTATGAAGATTTTCTTATAATATTGCTGCGCCATTATAAATAATAATATATTTTCTATTAAATCTAAGGGATTTTAAAATACCATGCTTCTTGCAAAATCCTTTACTACTTGAAAAATATCTTCAGAAAAAAATTTTGTATTTGAGATTCACATTCACAACATCAACACGATTTGATTCGAACAGGTGATGAGGTGACACTTGACAGTAGAATGACAAGTTTGACAGATTTCATTTGACAAACAGTGACAATGACATTTTGAATGTTTAATTTTCCTAAGGTGTTGCCATGATTTTAATTTAATTGAGTTACAATAATTTTAGTTTTTTAAAAGCAACTGTAATGTTTCTCATTCAATAAAAATAAAAAAGTCAGAAGTTTGATCTCAAAGAGTATAATAAGTATAGGGGAAAATTTTTCTGTCAATAAAGTAATAATTGTGGTGATAGATTTTATTATAGCTCTATCAGGATATCGATCTATTAAAAAGTAGGTAGGGTGGCCATACCTTTCACGAATTCGTCATGATTTACCCGGTTTTCAAAATATCGTATTTGCAGAGCCTAGAGTATTACGTTACAGAAGGGCGCAGAGAGAATCCCGTGCGCACAATAAAAAAAAATGTGGCCCTTATGAGGTGCTTACCCACTTACCCAGAGCGATCTCTAGGTTTAATTTGCTTCTGATTCTTGTAACAGGGGTCTGAGCGTTTAGCTCACCTAGATTATATTTGACAACTCGTCAGATACCACAAAAATAATCTTGATCTTAATAAATGGCTACAAGAAAATATTGCAGGTAAATATTATTATATAAACGCCCATAGATCGCTTAAGCAGGTACCTGCCTACTTAGCTATTAATGAATTATTTACTAACAATCCTTGGCATTTCCATGCATAACTTGTCTGATTTATCCTTGTGTTCGTTTTCAAGTGGAATGAAGGTTTCGGAAATTAATTATGCATGACTATTAGTTAGGTTAAGTATACAGCTAAGATAGAACCGATTAAGGAAAGTATTTTATGACCTAATTTAAATGGTACTTTTGTACTATCTTACTTTCGTAAAATCCTAAAGTACTAAATAGCTGCTTACCGGTTGGAATATTCTGCTGTGCCTGAAATGGGTTTGAATCCTTAGGTATTCCATTGGAGAACAAAATAAGGTGTGTGTTTTGTTACATACCTAGACCTAGACAGTAGGCCGACTTATTATTGTAAAGCTCAGGTATACAATGTAATGAAATAAAAACCACTATGGCCTCGTTATCACATAACAGATATATGAGCCTTTTGTCAGTCAACAGAATATGAGACAGTCAACAGAAGTTCACAAGAAAGTAAATAGGCGGTACCTAATTGGTAAGTTAGGTTCAAAGCAACTAAATATATAGGTCGATTTCACGTCATCTTAGAGTGACCTAATATGAGTTGTCGAAGGAATCACGATAGCAGTGAGCTATAATGCCGCGCACACGTAATTCATAATGAATTTTTAACCAACTCCTGACCTTTTGTGAACGAATTCTTGTCGTGTTTAGGGTGTTTCTTTTTAGTTGTAGCAAATTGTCAGATTTCTAGATTACTAGGGTATTTCGGCTGGTAGCACCAAATACGGATTGAGAATACTGGATAACTCATACAGTCCTACATATATAATATGCCTTAGAGTAATTTGAATCTTGCATTGAAAATTGAAACGAAAGTACCCCCAATCAAATCGCACCGATTGATCCTCAAGTCACTAAGTAAGATTTTTTTTTAAGGGGGATAATCATTGAATGACTTCTCCCGCCTAATGGAGGCGCTGCTGGGTTTGGTTCTGATCGGGCGGCGAGCCACCCATGCTCGCCGTCCGCAGGCCCGCGCTTACGGTGGCCGGAGATCGTCCCGCGATCCCCGACGCCCAGAGTGTCCTTCGCGATGGCTGGGTTGCGAGGAGGCAGCGAAGCGCTGCGTCCTGCCTCCTCCTTAGCTAGCATGACTGCTTCGCAAAAGGAGGAGACGGCATCCCAGTCCCCCTCGCTCCACTAAGTCGGATAGAGTTGAAACACAAAACATCAACATTCTTGTTCTTTAATATACTTATTAATTGGAATTGGAACATATACTTAGGTATGATTAGTGGAGGTACACACATAAAATATCCAGGGTACCTACTAATAAATCACACCCCCTGTACAAGGACTGAAGAACAAGTTTTGTTCCACGAAGCTTTCATTGGTGTACATACGTGCAAACCACAATAAAGGTTAACATGGAACATCTGTGTCCTGGTTTCTGTTAATTACATCACCACCTTAATAATAACTAGAAAGTTTTGATTGGATATCAATAATTACTTTAGCTGCTTCTACAAATTATGAGTGGGATTTCATTTGATAAGTGTACAAATTGGACTGCGCTTGTGTTGAGTAAAAATGCAACTATGGATACTTGGTTTTGTGGTTTTCTTAGCACCTGTGTCAGGAGAGGATTTTCCGTCGCTGATCACCGCGAACGCTTCTATAGGTAAGTTGTAGTTCTGATTACATTTAGGGCATTTCAAAATGTATTTCATAAATCGTTAAAAGCCAAGTATTTTAATTTTCTACACCCGTGTCATAGTGATCATAGAGACATACTTTCAGCTGTAGTATTAGATCGTCAGTACCTAGGAGAAAAGTATCAAATAATTCTGGACGAGTTGAAAGATTATATCAAGGAGTTGGCGAGGGTTGAGCTCAAGCACGGTGGTGTCAATGTTTACTACTACTCCTGGACTGCTATCAGTCTCAAAAAAGGTAAAGACATTTTTTCTATTCACATATTACGTGTGCTGAAGAGGTTGGCATCACTTTAGAACCTCTGACAAAACTGAGCAAAACCAACCTACTTACCTATATAAGTTAGGCAATACACGTGTCTTGTTCTCTTGGAGCAGTCGTAGTCGGAGTCGTGGTATTTTGCCCACCTTGCCATTGTTATTATACCTCGGATGCATATTATAGACCATATTATGTTTCATTCCACTAAACCTACATTATGCACTAAACTTTGGAGATCCATTAAAAAATATAAGTGTGGGAGAGCCATGCTTCGGCACGAACGGGCCGGCTCGACCGGAGTGATACCACGGCCTCACAGAAAACCGACGTGAAACAACGCTTGCGTTGTGTTTCATCGTGTGAGTGAGGTTACCGGAGGCCCAATTACCCCTTCTCTAGTCTGCCCAATCCTCGAATCCCCCACAATCCTCAAATTCCTGATTCCCAAAAGGTCGGTAACGCACTTGTAACGCCTCTGGTGTTTCGGGTGTCCACGCCGATTGCTTACCATCAGGTGATCCGTCTGGTGATATTAGGTTCCAAAATTGGTACTTAACTCCACGGTATTTGTAGGTTTTCTAGCTGTATTCAGTATAGCATCCTGTGAAGACACTTGGGAGTTATTTTCTCGAACAGAAGAAGAGGAATTATTACTTTTCGCTCTAACCGAAGTGGATTGTCCAAGGTTACCATCACATTCAGCTATAACAGCCACATTCACAGATCCTGGTGAAGAGTTACCTCAGCTGCTACTAGATTTGAGGACTTCTAATGCTTTTCAGTGGAAGTCTGCTATTATACTCCATGATGACACTTTGAGTGAGTATAAAGATGTATCTATTTAAAAACACACGCACTTTTAATAGTTAATAATGTTCTGATAGGCCGTCTTTACCTATTGTGGTAGTTGTACAAATATTATCTGGTTTTATCAGGTCGGGACATGGTATCCCGAGTAGTGCAGTCTCTAACATCACAAATAGATGATGAGAGTGCCTCACCTGTGTCCGTCACGGTGTTCAAGATGAAACATGAGATCAACGAGTACTTGAGACGGAAGGAGATGTATAGAGTCCTATCCAAGCTGCCTGTACAATACATAGGTGAGTTTTGTGACAAATCAGTTAAGGATCAATAGTGAGACGAACATTATTGAGATAAGAAAATTCATAAGTTGTAGAGATAATGGCTGAAAAATCCGCAGGAAGCTCTTTCACGTGTTCAAGGGGAACTTAAGTAACCGTATCTCTTTTTTAACCTTCCTAGTATCAGATTAGAGAAAAAAGCGTCGTATTAATTCACTACATAACTTTATATTTACAACTCGTGGTTAGTTCGGAGAACCTAACGGGTAACCGGGGCTCCGGCTCGACGTGCAGAAGAAGGAACGGGGTGGTTTTTAGTCAGTAAGTGTCTGACACTCCCTCCCGCCTCACCCAGGCGGGAGCAGTAACACGATGATTTACCGCCTTAAAAAAAATAACTGCTTCGAAACTGCTAATCAAAACTGTTATTGTTGTCAATAACATTCAAAGCTTCGCTGTCGATGTCAAAAATAAATCAGAATAACAGCAAATTGTACAATTGTAATTAGGTAATTTTTATTGCCTCTGCTGCACCGTTTTTCAATGTTTGGAAAGCTTCCAAAATTGGACAACTGTAGTGGGCTTACTAAGAATAATTTAGCTATTGCAGATTTGTACCGTCAAAGTTAACCACAATAATTCATTGCAATTTGAATTTTTTTTGATAGGTATTAAATTTATCACTTAATCAATCTGATAATGACCGCAGTGTCTAGAATCTTTAGACTTGAATACAAACTAGAGACAAATTTAGTAGTTACCTATGCCAAATATCTATATCTAAAACACGGTGACGATTGTAGCCAATTAATTAGTTTGAAAGAAATTGAGACTGATAGTAAATCTAGATTTTCTTAACACTTACACCTTAGCAGTAGAAATAAACGATAATCTTAGAGCTCCAACAGTAGACATAAAAATCGATATTAAAATACTTCCAGGTGAAAATTTCATAGCAGTAGTGACGTCAGATGTGATGACGACAATGGCGGAGACGGCTCGCAATCTGGTCATGTCACATACGATGGCTCAGTGGCTATACGTCATATCTGATACTAACGCACAGAATGGGAACCTGAGTAGTCTCATCAATGATTTGTACGAGGGAGAGAATGTCGCCTACATTTATAACATGACGGATAATAGCCCGGACTGTAAGGTAAGAAGAGTGATTTGACTGTACTTGAGAATTTTAGTAACCATTAGGTAGGTACGTAAATACAAGGGTAATATCGTATGTGGCATGGTCGACAATATCAGTTACCTGATCGAACACTTTTTTTATGGAATAGGAGGCAAACGAACAGACGAATCACCTGATGGTAAGCGATTAGCGCCGTTCATGGACACCCGCAACACCAGAGCGTCACCTTAATCCTTAAGTAGCAATCTAAAAACACGTTTTTAATAAATAATCATTAAAAAACGAAAAGAAAATGGCAACCAATTGGCGTTCCTTAGTCTCTGCCTACCCCCATGTGAGACAGGCGTGAAGTTATGTATGTATGTGTGTATGTAAAATGGCTATCACAATATGGAGAATGTTACTGTGACGTAAATTTAAGAAAGTACCACATAGGTACTTTCTTAAATTTATTTGTAATAACTTAATTAATAATGATTATTACCAATCCTAGATCCTACTATCTTTCTCTATGTATAAAAAAATACAATGTATGGGATGTTGAGCTATAACGTCACAGTACAACGTTAATTCTCTATGAAAAGTGCAAGTCATCAAAAGTTTAGACGCATATATTTCGGCTAGTTTTGATTGTACGACAAAACTGAGTGTGTGATCAATTTGGTACTTGCCAACAAGTCAAATTCAATACTTATTTCGAACTGCCAAAAACGACAATTTTCTATGAATTTTGTACGAGATTGTGTATTGTGACGCCACGTTTTTTTAGCGTCAAACAGCATACTTATTTCTTAAAAATTTGCTAAAATTAAGTTGGCCATAAAATCAATTAATGAAAGCGTGATTATTTTTTAATAATTTATTGTATTGAACAGCCGAACTAATTTATTTTTGACTATTAGAGAAAGTATCCAATTCGTAACATCAACGACTTCATAGTTACACATATTTCTACAAACGTGAACATTCTCCATTGTTTGTGTGGCTTTCCAGAACGGTATAATGTGTTACTGTCAAGAGTTGATGGATGCCTTCATATCGGCGCTGGACGCGGCGATACAGGACGAGTTTGACGTGGCCGCTCAGGTATCAGATGAGGAGTGGGAAGCCATCCGACCTAACAAATTGCAGAGGAGGGATAAGCTTCTGAAGCATATGCAGGTGAATAGAATATCTATGTCGAGTTGTTGTTTTTTTTTTTAGTATAAGACCGCTCGTAGTTCAGCACACTAAGGCTGTTGACTACTTAACCGAACAAACTCGTGTTGTTGAGGTAGTATGTAGGTACTTGGACTCATTTTTCTCTCTCCGGTCTTTCCCTCATGACTGAGGAACGTGTTCATCTTGGCATGACTCTGGATCGAACTAATTTTGTCCACCAGCTCCTATCTGCAGCCATTTGTATGGCTTGCACTCATACACGAGGTATATATAGAAATTGAGTCTTAGTGAAAATGCCGCCAGTTAAGTAAGCTATTTTAATAATTGTAGGTACCTAATGCCGGAATACTGAAACATTACTCAATTTTAAGTCACGCTTAAATATCGTGCCATCTCTGTCATTTTACAAAGAATTTGTAGAGGTAGAACTATACTTAAGCGCGACTTAAAATTGAGTAGCGTTTCAGTATTCCGACATAAGTATTTTCTTTATTTAGATTCTTTCTTTCAACTATGTATTGTTTGTGTTAACAGCAATACATAGCGGCTAAGAGTCGCTGTGGCAACTGTTCGACATGGCGAGCTTTAGCGGCCGACACTTGGGGCGCCACCTACAGGAGTTTCACTGAGACTATTGATATAGTCAATGATAGCAACATGAATGCAACTAACAGAGTTATTGATAAAATTGACTTATTAAATGTAAGTCTTTATTGCTATAAATGTAGGTACATACATACGGTGGTCAGCAAGTCAACCTATCCTTTTGTGTGTGTGTGTGAACTTTATTGTATTGATATAAAGTCGAAAATCCAACGAATAAAGACCGATAGGAGTAGGTTGATCTACTGACCAATGTACTAAACTTAAAAAATGTTTTCACTCTAGTCAGCATAGGTTCTGATAATGAGAACGATAGGTATCAGCATCAGGTATGCTAATGTGAAAATACTTTTTCTATACACAGGTGGGAATCTGGCGTCCTATTGATGCTGTGAGATTCGAAGATGTTCTATTTCCACACATCCATCATGGGTTCAGAGGGAAGGAACTGCCCATCATCACCTATCATGTAAGAATTTACTTAAATCACTTTGAATTACAGCGTTTTCCATACAATGCAAGCATAATAAGAAAGTAGAATTAAGTAAACCTCCTTTTTTGTATTATATCAGGTAATCAGGCCATTTTTTACGACAAATGCTCAGACAGCCATTAAAAAAGAAAAAAAAAAAACATTTTTTTTTAATATTTTATGGCTGCTACAACAGTTTTTGAAGTTTATACCAGTACTAGCACCATATTAGCAGAAGAGGTTTTATTTGTTTTAGAACAACTATTAAACCTTTATTTCGATGTCGTTGTTACTAATTTATTTGGCAAGTAATTTAGGAAATACAAGAGATAAATAAAAACCTACATTTAAATGAGTAGGATCTCAATTGAGCTCACATAATTATTAAATTACTAAGGCTACTGTGGATAGTCTTTTTGTTTATAGGTTAATTGATTAATCATTGTTTTCCAGAACCCTCCATGGACGATACTGCAACGAAACGAATCTGGTGCTATTGTTAAATATGGTGGACTTATATTTGATATTATCAATCAGTTAGCTATCAACAAAAACTTTACGTAAGATTTTTTCATATGTATATTTTTTCTTTTATTTATCATACCTATATATATAAACGAAAGTCGTGTTAGTTACACCACTTATAACTTAAGAACGGTAGAATAGATTTGGCTGAAAATTGGTAGGGAGCTTAGAGCCAGGAGACCGACATAGGATACTTTTTGACCAAGATTTTTTTTTTACTTTGTGGCGACACATGCCACATGTCAACGGATGACGTCACAAGAATCCTACATCGCACATGCAAAGTTTACAAGCGATTTAACACGGATAGAAAATCCCAACGAGCAACTGTTGGGCAGAAAGCCCGCCAGGCACGATCACCTCGCCTGGTCGGAGGATCCTCCTTTTCCGATCTTAGGGAACTATACTCTCTGTTCCCTACAGTGGTGACCCCGACGTGATTGGAAGCAACCTTCACTTAACGGAGCAGATCAGCACCGTCATCCGTATCGCCATCCCTCTCATTCATCATTTCTCCGCTGAGCGGTAATCAAGTCGCAGCCAACCAGCATCCTCGGCCTCATCAGGGACCACCATTACCTGCAACGAAGTTGTGCAGCCTGGTTCTTCCCTACGGCCTCACCAGCGTCTAGGCACAGCACTTCTGCACACGGTTCTGAAGGACATCTCCTCCCGTCAACGCAGACGCCGGCCACTACGCACCTACCCTCGCAGCATCTCTTCCCCGACTCACCGTGGGACACTGCGAACTCATCTCTCCGACTCACTGGAGTTTCACCCTGCACCGCTGACCCGACTCACTGGGCACTCAGCGGCACGGTTCCGACCCACTGGAACTAGGGACGTTCTACACTGGCTCTGGCGCCGCTCATCTCAAGCATCGACAGCCGTCTCAGCGGGATCGACCTCCGGTCTTGGGAGGGAGTGATGTGGCGACACATGCCACATGTCAACGGATGACGTCACAAGAATCCTACATCGCACATGCAAAGTTTACAAGCGATTTAACACGGATAGAAAATCCCAACGAGCAACTGTTGGGCAGAAAGCCCGCCAGGCACGATCACCTCGCCTGGTCGGAGGATCCTCCTTTTCCGATCTTAGGGAACTATACTCTCTGTTCCCTAAAACTTTTTACCGAAAATCACGAACGGGGACGAGAAAAATTGGGATTACGCGTACGAAGTCGCGGGCAGAAGCTAGTTTACAATAAGTACAGGATAATCCATTTAAAATAGCAACCAAAAACCACTAAGGTTTAAACTTGTGCTATCATAAATCAATCTCAAACTCGATTTTTTATAAATTAATGAGGTGTCAAAGTCAAAGTCAAAGTTAAAATCACTTATTTCAATTAGACCAGGAAGGCACTTTTGAACGTCAACAACAAAAATTTAGAAGTAAAGCCAGTTGCTCAATCCAAGGTGTAGATTCCTATGGAGACGTTTTACAAATATATACCTACGATAATGTCGCTAACAATATAAACAACTTAGGATAAACAGTCTTTGCATAAAGTGTGGGAGAGTCATGCTTCGGCACGAATGGGCCGGCTCGACCGTAGTGATACCACGGCCTCACAGAAAACCGATGTTAAGCAACGCTTGCGTTGTGTCGTGTGAGTGAGGTTACCGGAGGCCCAATTACCCTCCCCTTCCCCAATCTCCCCAATCCCTGAATCCACAACGATCCTCAAACTCCTAATCCCCAAAAAGCCGGTAACGCATTTGTAACGCCTCTGGTGTTCCAGGTGTCCATGGGCGACGCCGATTGCTTACCATCAGGTGATCCGTCTGCTCTTTTACCGGCTTATTCCATAAAAAAAAAACAACGACATTCCTAAATAATACTTACGTATGTAATACTACTTTAGTTTACATTTTATGTTCTTTGGCGTAATATTATATTGAATCGTGTTGTTAATTAATAAGATTAACATGAATTATTTTTTCATAATTTTCAGCATTAAAGTCATATTAGCTTCGGTTCTGAAGAAAGAGTTATCCAATGATACGACTACTGATGTAAGTATAATCGGGGTTTTGCAGTTGTTTATTCTAAAAAATCAATACATATAATAAAACTGTAAAAGGTCAGTGTCTGTACATAGAAGATAAATAAGTAAAACTTTGTTATGGGAACTTTATAATTCCTTAACTTAAAAGATAAAAGATAACAATTGATTTTGTTCATAACAATTAGTAATTCGCCAATCATTGTGTTCTGTTTCAGATGATGCATAGCATGGAAGCTAAGTTGACTATATCTGCTATTGCCAAAGGCCAGGGGGCGCTAGCTGCTGCCTCTTTCACTGTTTTAGCAGATCCTGTACCAGGTGAAAAATAAACGTAAAAATAATGTCTCATGTGTATACATGATAGATATTAACATTCTTTGCTTGGTTCACTATCTAGGTTCACTGGTCCGAACCAGTGCGCGACAAATCCTTGATTGGTGGTCACGCACGCGACTTAACCTCTCGCGTGTTTTTCGTACACACGGGTGTACGAGAGAGTTGAGTGCCCATCGCGCAATTGTACACATGGGTGTACGAGAAACGCGCACCGATTGGATATTTTTTCTGTGACGTATATTTTCAAGTTTAGGTACAACCTATAAATTTGTTAATTTGTTTACAAACTATATATATTGTACGACAATGCCTATAACTAATGATTTTTTTTAACCAAACGTATAAATAATTTTTGCCTATATATAATAATCCTACATTTTTATGTTATTCTTTTTCATATACTTTAATATTAGTAACATACTTAGGTACCTACATTAGTAGGTAGGAAAAAGTAAGTAGGAAAAAAATACCTATGTGAAGTGTATGTTTTGTTTTAATTTCCGTAATGAGCAACGGAACAGTAAAGTAAGAACAAAATGTTTAATTCAATGCAAATTGTGTTAATTCACACGTTTTTATTTTTGCACGTGAAATTTAAATTTTGGAGATACTTATTTCATTTCTGAAACTGCTTTAGGTTATTGACTTTTTATTAGGATTTAAAGGCCCCAGGCAGAATTACATTAATTTTTAAATATTTCTTGTCGTATTAGCAAACAGTGGTACGCCTCGGCTTCGTCTGATTGATGTTTATATAGATTTTTATTAATTAATCATTTTTGTTATTGATATTTTATATTAATAACGAATACGTTTGAATGAATTTTATATTGTGTGGTGGAACAGTGGAACGACTGAAAAAAATGAGCCTCTTGCATAGCTTGAATTGAAACTAGTCGAGTTCTTCGTCAATTAATTACGAGCCGAAAAACCTAATAATTAATTTAGTATTTCTCACGAAAGGGTCTTAAAAAACATGTCATTCAGACATTACCTAGGCGTAGCCACAATCTTTGGATACCTATTTAATTTTTATTTATACTGGTTTATTCTTTTTTTAGGTATTAACTACACTATACCAGTGAGTATACAGTCCTATGCCTTTTTAATCGCTCGCCCTCGGGAGCTGAGTAGAGCATTGTTATTTTTACTTCCATTTACGACTGATGTAAGTATAGTCTTTGAAGATTTTATGAATTAAATTGTTTTATTTTAAAATAGCGATCCGCCCGGCTTCATACGAGTGCAATATGCATGTATTACATATAAAACTTCTTTAAGAATCACTCTATCTATTAAAAAAAAGGCATCAAAATCCGTTGCGTAGTTTTAAAGGTCTAAGCACATCTACATTCTACATAGGGACATCCAGACGGCGGATAGCGACTTTGTTTTAAACTGTGTAGTGATTGATTACAGAATAATTATGATTCTTTTTTTTCTAGACATGGTTATGTCTAGGTTTAGCAGTGATACTAATGGGGCCTACGCTGTATATCATTCATAGAATGAGCCCTTACTATGAAGCCATGGAGATAACGCGGCAAGGAGGTCTTGCTACCATACACAACTGTCTCTGGTACATCTACGGAGCTTTGTTGCAACAAGGTAATTTTTTATACAATAAAATTCAAATAACATAATTTTGTTCCCAAAATTCTCAATTTTATTAAAACCTCTTTTTCTGAATAATTGGTAGTATTGCCATAAACTGTTCAAAAACTGATTTGGCAGCCATAAAATGTTTAAACGACAGTTGGTTTTTTTCTTAACTTTTTAAAGGCTGTTCGCGTGTTTTTTTCATGAAAAATGACCAGATATAATTTTAATTGAAAAATGAGGCCAGGAGAAATGGAATTTAATATTTTCGTCAACAAATAATTACAAACAAGAAAATATTAACCGTGAAAATACATATAATACCACTTTATCTATGCGTACCTAAGTATCTATTTATTACTTGTAAAATTTCCTAAAATATTATTAATTCGTCATCATCATCATCATAAAATATTAAGGAAATTTTTACCAGTTCCAAAGTAGGTAGAGTCATAAAAAAGGTTCTTAATATAGAAAACTTCAACTAAGAATAACATGGATAAATATTGATAACGTATTTTGTCGTAATTCATATAATATGAAAATATTCGACTTCATTCCTTCTGACCCTATTTTATGTTTAACCTTACCTATATCAGGCCATTTTTCATGAAAAAATGGACTAACAGCCGTTAAAGAATAAAAGAAAAAATCAACTTTCTTTTAAATATTTTATGGCGTTTAAATCAGTTTTTAAAGATTTTGTGCCTGTATTACCATTAGGTCATATCAAACAGGTTTTAATTGTTTTAGACAAACAGATATAATTTTTAATTTTGAGCTATGAAATAAAATTAATGTAGATAGTGTAGTAGATGGTGGCTACATAATTCAACAAAATTTTATAATGTAAAGCACTTTTATTGTTACGTAGCAGACTACTTACAATAGCATGTTAGCAATAAAACAATGACAAATAATTTTAACCACTCTTTATCATTATAAACATAAATTGTATTTTCTAGGTGGAATGTATCTTCCTCGAGCTGACAGTGGCCGTCTAGTAGTAGGAACATGGTGGCTAGTTGTACTCGTGGTAGTTACCACATACTCTGGCAACTTGGTGGCCTTCCTGACGTTTCCCAAGCAAGAAGTTCCTGTGACGACTGTAACTGATCTTTTAGCTAACCGAGCCCTTTACACTTGGTCGATTAATAAGGGATCTTATTTGGAGATGGAATTAAAGGTATGAGATCGAATATCATCGCTTGTTATCATCATTGTCAATAGTTTATGACAGTCCACTGCAGTACTACGTGGTTTGAGTTTGTCATCATCTACTGACATCATAGAGAGTACTACCGCTTGGTCTCAAAAATCCAGAAATCGTATAGTTTTGTACGAATAAGTGAAAAAATCTGAAAAAGTTTTTAACACTAACGTAATGGGGTAGTTTCCTAAATTTTATTTTAATGTCCGTCTGGTAGATTAATTTAAAACATTAGATATGTATTTTTTCTTCTCTCACTACTTAAATACTTTCGACGATATATTAATTTGAAATACCGTGTGACGTCACAGCGTGCCACATTTTGTAGCACGTTATGACGTAACCACCTCCCACTCCTAAACTTATCGGCATTTTATCTAAGTATTGCAACTTAATACGTGTCTAATATTTTTTCATTATCTGATGGACTAATTAGATTTTTAATTTTGATACCCTGGTAACTATCCAATTTAAAGGTGTGTGTTCCTATGCCACAAAAAATCGTAAAGTTGGGAATTAAAATTGACGATAAACTAAAATATATAAATAACTATATACATTACAAAAGCATTAAGAATAAAAGTTTTCTACCTAAAGAGGTATAAAAGTGTCGGGTAAAGTTCTGATCTTCGGTTCAAGTAAGGTCAAAGCCAGTTCCCGATCACGATCTCCCGGCGTGATCGCCTCGCAGTCGCAACTTCGCGAATAGCTTTGGAGTCAAAGAATTTTCGAACTCCTATCATGCTCTCATCACGTGATCGACGCGTGGTGCAATCTGTACGCCATTAATTTTATTTGAAAAAAGAAAGAAGAAATGGTTTACGTAAATACTAAGTCATTTTTTATAAAAATACTTTTCATTATTTTCAGAATAACTATCGTGAGATGTACTAAATTAACTAAAATCGTGGGTTACTTACGTACTGAGAAAAGCTCTACTATTTATTATAATGAGGTTGAGCCCCTCTGTGGCTCGAAACTAGTGGACCTTTTTTCAGTACCTATATTCACGTGAATAACCCGCGATTGTTAGTTAACTTTTCATTATCATCACATAATTGTCTCTAGTAAATGCTTATTTAATTTCGGTTTATTTTCGTAGAATTCAGATGAACCTAAGTATACAGCGTTGTTGAAAGGAGCTGAGTTGGTTTCACCTACTGTGGGCAAGTCGGGGACTATGCCATCGGGTAAGAAATAATAGGTATTAAGAAATTATAAAAGCACACCCTTATCTGCAGAATACTGAAAGACTAATAAAAATCTTAAGTAATTTTTTTCTTTATTGTCATAACAGAGGGCTTAGTACGGTTTTTTTTCGTTTAATCCAAACGAAACGAAACTTCGTCCGGCGCTCTGATTGGTTGGTTCATCGGAGCCGGCCAATCACAGCGCCGAACGCTTACTCGTTTCGATTACTTTCAATGTAAAAGAAACTCGTAGGTACTAAGCCCTCTGTTTGGATTATCCTGACGTTTATTACTAAATTGGATCACACCAGTAACATTTGTATAAAGATGTATTTACCTAACTATGCACCTTTCAGGATCCTCATTGCTGCAGCGAGTTCGTTTCCACCGCCACGTGATCATAGACTGGAAGCTTCGGCTCAGCTACATGATGAGAGCAGACCGGCTAGAGGCTGATAATTGCGACTTTGCTCTTAGTGGGTATTTAAACTTTATATTCAGACTAGCAGCCCGTCCCGGCTTCGCACGGGGTAGACAATTATTTATTTTTGGAAATTTGGATTGTTGTGGTTTTTTGTAGACATTATGATGTTCTTCAATATTGTTGTACATTATTTTGTTCTCTCGCTAATGGTTTCGGCAACGCATTCGACGAAAGACATTTTAACACACAATTTTCTACACCTTCGGTTACATTGTTCAAATTTTACCAAGGAGTCCTAATTTTTGTAAAATGAAATGTAGCCTATGACAAATTGGAAAAATGTAGCATTCTATTGGTGAAAGAATTTTTTATATCGGCCCAGTACTTTTTAAGCCTATTCATTACAAACATACAAAAATAGGTACAAATCTTTCCTCTTTATAATATTAGTATAGATATATTGAGTGATGTACTCGTTGATTCAGTGATTGAATTGTATAAATGACTGTGGATAACTGGTCTGGTTCACTGTTCAGACTGAGCGAGATAGTTGTAGGTAATAGGTTTTTTAATAAAAGTAAATGAAAATCTAAAAAACGGTAGTGTGTTGCTTATGGGCAAATACGGACCAAAGAAGACAATTTTCGAGAAAAAGCTATATGCATTTATTGTAATACACACAAATACACATAATATCACGCTTTTTATCCCCGACGGGGTAGGCAGAGGTGCACATTAAGCCACCCACTTTTCACTATTTATGTTATGAGTCCCATGTAATAGGGGGTGAGCCTTTTGCTATATACCCGGCACAATTCCAGACTCCGTGCTACTACTGAGATTATTTTAAAACCTAGTAATACTTTGCCCGAGATCCCGAGATCCCTTGCCCGGCAGTCGCACTTGCGATCACTCGGCCAACGAGGCAGTCAAGCATTTATTGTAATCATTCTTGAAATTAAAATGAAATAAGAAATATGTAACAATAGAAACAATTTGCAGGCGCTGAGGAGTTTCTGGATGAGAAAGTCGCAATGATAGTGCCTGCAGGCAGCCCCTACCTCCCTGTGATAAACAAAGAGTAAGTCGCGTGTGACGTGTGAGATTCATGGTTTTGTTTCGTAGTTACATCTGTGTCGTGTAATGAAATATCTTGGATATTAATTGTTGTAGGAACGTATTTCTTTTTATTTAGGAATCATTTGGGCAGAAAGACTTGGGAAGTAAAGGATTTTTACCTCAATAAAACCACCATGATAGTTAGCTTTTATACTTATGAGCGTACCTTATTTACTTTCTCATCTTGAGATATATTGCTTTTCCATAACATTTACCCCCGAAGGGGTAGGCAGAGGTGCATATTATTAGGGCACATATGCCGGAATACTGAAACGTTACTCAATTTTAAGTCATGCTTAAATATCGTGCCATCTCTGTCATTTTGCAAAGAATTTGTAGAGACAGAACTATACTTAAGAGCGACTTAAAATTGAGTAGCGTTTGAGTATTCCGACATTAATGCCACTGTACAATGTAACACCAACTGTTCACTACTTATATTATGAGTCCTATGTATTAGGGGGTGAGCCTATTGCCATATACCGGACACATTTCCAGACTCCGTGCTACTATTGAGATTATTTTTTTAAACCCAGTAATACTTTGTCCTACCCGAGACTACTTGCCCACTTGCTTTACTCTCCACGTATCACTTATAGGGCATGCCCATCAATTACCTGGTTTTAATATATATAAAGTTTACCAATTAAAACGATTTCTCCCTTTTCTATGTGTATTAGGTTAGATCGCATGCACAAGGCGGGTCTGATTACCCGATGGTTGGAGGCGTACCTGCCGAAGAAGGATCGCTGCTGGAAGTCCTCGTCTATGATGCAAGAGGTGAACAACCATACTGTGAACCTCAACGACATGCAGGGCTCGTTCTTCGTACTATTTATGGGTAATTAGACAAACATATCTATCTTCTTCTAACTCCAGTCAGACTTCTTTCCACTTCTTTCTTATTATTTTTGGATGTACCACTCTTTATCATGTAATTCTTTATTGCTACTGAGGATATTTTAGTAGCCTGATATACAGTATCATTTCTACAATAAAATGTATTGTATTCTATCTAAAACTACATGCATAGTGAAGTTTTTTCCTGCAGATTTCGATCAGACCTATTATTAACGTCGGAATGTATAGCAAACTGCGTGAAAGAGTATAGAAGTAAAGATACTAAATAAACACACACATGATCCACTTCAAAATGTTTATCTCTATTTACGCAATACATAACATCACGCCTTTTATCCCCGAAGGGGTAGGCAGAGGTGCACATTACGGCACTTAATGCCACTGTACAATGTAACACCCACTTTTCACTATTTATGTTAAGAGTCCCATGTAATAGGGGGTGAGCCTATTGCCATATACCGGGCACATTTCCAGACTCCGACTGCCTCGTTGGCCGAGTGGTCGCAAGTGTGACTGCCGGGCAAAGGGTCTCGGGTTCGATTCCCGGGTCGGGCAAAGTATTACTGGGTTTTTAAAAATCTCAGTAGTAGCACGGAGTTACGCAATATATTTGCTAAAAATGTTAAACAGCCTTTCTCTTAGTTTAGTTTATTTCTTTTATGATTTTATGAATATTAATGGATTCCTGACCTCTGGTAACAAATCTCACGGCTTGAGCACGCGGCCAGCGAATGACATAAGATGACGTCAAATGAATTTTAGTTATTGCTAAACTAGATCTTGTTTACGTCAATATCGATTTCATTAATCAAATCAACACATATTTTTGCCCTTCAACTTTTGTTTTGGTTAAATATCAAAGTATTATTATCTATCTATTGAATGTAGGCTATCATAATCGGTTTAGTAGTTTAGTCGTGAAAGTGTAATGTAAAAGTAAGTTAAGTTTTTTAAGTTTAAGTTTTTTACTTTTTTGTATAATTATCTATTTTATATTTATTTATTTATTAACGCTTCATGCACAAAGTGTACACAAGGTGGACTTAATGCCGCAGGCATTTTCTCCCAGTCTGACCTTTGGGTGATGCAGAGAAGAGTGAATGGTAGGAGCAAGAATATCATATGATTGCACGGTTGGCGAGGTGGCTGGGCAACTGGCTGCCGCGCAACGTGTCGTGGTTCGATTCCCGCACAGGACAACTCTTTGTGTGATCCACAGATTGTTATTCCGGACCTGGGTGTCATGTGTATATGAACTTGAATGACATTGGATTTTCTCCTATGTCTTGCGTTTATACGCAGAAAATCCTAGTGTATTGGCAAAATATTTGAAGACACACTAACATTTTAATGGCCACGTTTATAAGTACTAGTTTCTGCCATCGGTTTCGCCCGCGTTCTCGTGGTATAATAAAAAGTAGCCTACGTGTTATTCCATACCACTATCTATCCCTGTTTCAAATATCTTTCCCATCTCTTCAGCAGTTTTGACTTGAAGGAATAGCAAACAAATGAACACACAGACATTCATACAAACCTTCGGATTAATAATTATTACTAGGATATATGTTTTTTTATGGCATAAGCCGGCAAACGAGCAGACGGATCACCTGATGGTAAGCAATCGGCATCGCCTATGGACACCTGGAACACCAGAGGCGTTACAAGTGCGTTGCCGGCCTTTTGGGGATTAAGAGTTTGAGGATGGTTGGGGATTCAGGAATTGGGGAGATTGGGGAAGGGGAGGGTAATTGGGCCTCCGGTAACCTCACTCACACGACGAAACACAACGCAAGCGTTGCTTCACGTCGGTTTTCTGTGAGGCCGTGGTATCACTCCGGTTGAGCCGGCCCATTCGTGCCGAAGCATGGTTCTCCCACACTTAAATATAAGCTCTCCCAGACACAATAGGTATAAAGCCAATAATAAGATAGGTACCTATATGTATCTGGTTGTATATGTACCTACCTATTAGAAACACGTAATACATTGAAGTCATTTAAATGTATCTTACCTACTGCATTGTACTGGATTATCTAACACGAACCTGAACTAATGTAATGAGACAATGCTTCACTGCTAATTTATGTACATTTTAATGTTATTGTTTAATCAAGGATAACATTTACTACTCTATAATATATAGGTACCTAAGTATCTATACGTTTAGTAGTACAATCAATAACATAGATGAGTCTTTAAGACCTACTCAAGTCTTACTATATATATATGTTCATACTTGTGTATTTAAGACTTAAGTAAGTGGTACTTACAATTGCGACTGCCGGGCAAGGGGTCTCGGGTTCGATTCCCGGGTCGGGCAAAGTATTACCAACTGGGTTTTTACAAAATTCTCAGTAGTAGCACGGAGCCTGGTATTGTACCCGGTATATGGCAATAGGCTCACCCCCTATTACATGGGACTCGTAACATAAATAGTGGTGTTACATTGTACAGTGGCATAATGTGCACAGCTCTGCCTACCCCTTCGGGGATAAAAGGCGTGATGTTATGTTATGTTATGTAAGTACCACCTAGTTCGTTTGAATACATGCTTTAGATTTAAGGCCGATTTATCAATTACCACATATCTTTTATTCGTAGAATGAAATTGACGTCTGTCAGTTTTTGTATGGAAAAGCTGTAAAAAATTTTTAGGAGTAGCAAAAATCCCCTTCGAACAACTCAATTATTTTCTTTTCGTCAATAGCTTTTTAGTTTTCTTTTCTAAGGGCAATGTTGTCTTGTTCAAAATAATTAACATTTCAAACACATTGACTAATTAATATTCGCAGTACAAGGGTTAATGAATAGTAAATTGCCTCTCTTTTATATCTATTTTTTTTAAAGAGGTTTTCATCCAATTCTTGTTCTTAACTAAATTAGTTATTGTCACCAACTTAACAATAAATAAATTGTTGCACTTTCCATAAAAAATTTCAAGAAATGGTGCTCTTAGTGCTCTCCTGTCGAAATTCACTTTAATTTTTTCGACTGTATTTTAAATGTGCCTACTAGATTATCTACTGTATTCTTTGCACTTGTGTATTATATCATATATAACTGAGTTTATTTAGTGTAATATAATCTTAAGAAATGCATACTAAAAATAAAGTAGAGATGTACAGAGAAAAGCTCTACTAGTTTCGAACCACAGAGGGGTTCTTCCTCATGAGCAGCGTGCGCGGTCGCGGCCATTTTTAGTTAATTTAGTACGTCTCAAGATAGTTATTATAAAAACATAGAGATGTACATAAGTATTTTACAAAGTTATGACTGTAGGATCACATAAGGTCTCTTACACGAGATATTTTCACAATTTTACGGTCTAGCGGCCTCTTATTTATTGAACATTGAGGTTACATGATATAAGATTTAAGAGGAACAATATGTTACCAACATTGGCTTTATGAGGGTCCGTGGAGTCTGTTGTAAATATACGGTCCTTATAAAAATCTCATCTCATTCTTCCTTTCTTGGTTTCGGTGTTGTTAATACTATTTAGGACACAATGGTCTCGTTTAAGTGTGTTTAAGAACTTGTATGTTAAGTAGGTGAACTTAAAACTGGTTTAAAGGACAATGTACTGGTTTCCTTCCCACTAATAAATACGAAATAAATGCAAATTTCAATGGATATATTGCAAATACGAAACTACAAAGTCATTTATTAGACTGACTTTGTTTTGCTTAATAAAAATGACGTATTTTCTCTTCTTATTTTCCAGGATTTTTTCTTGTGTCGTGGACAGTTTGTAGATTACATAAAGAGTTGTTCTAAGTGGAAGCCGAATCCACAGCACCTTAAAATCATCACAGAGCCATCTGAAAATGTAATCATACTAATAATACAAACGTGCAAGTTTCTTTGTTTGTCAATCACGTTGAAACTACCGAATGGATTTTGATGAAATATAATATACAGGCAGAGTATGGCCTGACTTAGTTTATAGGATTTTATCCCGATTAAATGCCCCCATGGGATAAAACAAGTATATCACAACAGCTAGTATCTAATAACAAAAGAATATTAGAATGTTATATTATTTCGCAGGTTTCTTCTCAGCGTCAACGGTGTTACTGCTTGAGTTTCTATACAACAGACGGAAACGACGGAGCGAACAGATAGTGATAAAGCCTTACGTTGAATAAATTACTTACCTATTTATTTATTCCCGATACTATAACATTTACATAACGCACGGAAAAATACTCGCTTGTCCTCGTGTATAATCCTAGTAAACTATACAAATGTATACACTATGTTATTAAAGTTTTACATGCTACTATAGTACGTTTGTTTTTTTTTCGAACCACACTATCCAAAAGACTCTTTGGAGTACCTATTACGAAATCGACCTGGTTTTTAGTTCTTGGCTCAGAAATGTATTCAATATTAAAGAGGCCTCTTTTTACTATTCTTGTGTTGATAATGAAATCGTGTCATCATTAATGATTCAATTAAATATCATCTGTTCAGGCAGCATTATGTACCATTATTATCTATCAGTAGTTTTCGAAGACACTAACTCTGATCACTAAGGTGTCTACCAGCCACGAGGGTGGACTGTGGTAATCCATTCTTAAGAAGGAACTTACTGATGATGGTTGCAACGAAAATGTGGTCTCCAACCTTAACAAATGCCCGGTAAAACTTGTGTGCAATTACAAGTGTGAGAGAGCCATGCTTCGGCAAGAATGGGCCGGCTCGACCGCAGTGATACCACGGCCTTACAGAAAATCGACGTGAAACAACACTTGCATTGTGTTTCGTCGTGGGAGTGAGGTTACCAGAGGCCCAATTACCACCCCCTGCCCAGTCTCCCCAATCCCCGAATTCTACAAAATCCTCAAATTCCCAATTCCCAAAAGGCCGGTAATGCATTTGTAATACGCATTTATAATGCCCTGGTATTCCAGGTGTCCATGGGCGACGTCGATTGCTTACTATCAAGTTGCCCGTCAGCTCGTTTACCGGCTTATGCCATAAAAAAACTTGCAAGCTGCAGTGTCAAATTTATTTTATAATTAAGTAACTACAGGGTGGCGAGGCGTCAAAACGCCATAGCCAGCTGAAAGGCCCCTTCAGTACTTATCACCAGTACTCCTTTGTCTCTTTCATCTGATGAATTTACCACCGGCCTCGAACAGTATAGTTATATCAGTGTGCTTAATTATAATGCACAAAATCTAATATTAGCTCTTATTAACCTATATTTAAAGATCATCATCATGAGATAGGTAAAAATGGGTAAGGAAATTCTCCTAGCAACGAAACCAGTGCATTCCATAGTGCCTCTGGTTCATCAAAGTTCATTAGAACACGCACCAGCGTCATGATTAGCTAGATGTGATCAATTTGCTATAAGGATAACGCCACTGTTGCTAGCCGATGAAAATAGTGACAAGGTCACTTCTAGTACATTCATTCGACTATGTCTTTGACTACGAACTTTAGTTTTTTTTTTGTTTTGTTTTATGTCCTTTTTAGTATGTTATGACATAATGGAATTATCTGCAACTCATCAAGATATTTTTAAAGTATATTTTTTGGTCTGGATATTTTTCAACTAAGTTAATCTTAATACTAGATCGAATCTTATTGACTTGCTTGTGTCAAGACTATTATAATTCAGAGAATTGGGGAGTAAAGTTATTTCCTGTGAATGTAACTTACACCTGTGTATGTTTTCAGATAGTGCATAATTTTGAAATATTTTATTCACGCCACGTGGACGTGGTTGTACGAATTCTTGACTATGAAATAGACTAGCAGTTAACTAGTTTTTTAAGTTCAAAGAATAATTTACATTTTTCAAATCTGTTACTCTGTGGTATAAAATCTGAGTGAGTCATCCAATAAAAGTTCAACGTCCAACAGCCACGTGTGATTGGATGTTTGGACGTCATCCAATAAATGGTTCAGAATAAAAGTGTCAAGTTAAAGCCCTGTATGTTTTAGTTTGAAACTTGTTTATCAAGTACTGAAGCGTGTACAAGATAATTTTACTATGAAATTTAAAAAACAATAAATGGGTATTATAACTAGGGACAAACAATTAATTAAATGAATAGGTAGGTTGGAGAATACAAACAAAAAATACATAAAGACAAAGATTTCGTATATCCAAAAAAATAACAAATATTATTCTTTTGGATGTGATAATAATTTCATTTCTACGTTTTGTTTTTGTCTGGCTCGTAGCGTCTTCGTGAATGCAATGTTGAATACATATTTTGTTATAATTTTATTTACTTTAAATTATATTGTATTATAAAAGTTATAATACATTAGAAAAGTGGAATGATCCATCAGACCACCACCGAAGGGCCCAACAGGGCTGATGCCAATTCGGAGTCGCGGAGAACCTAATGGGTTACCAGGGCTCCGGCTCGAAGCGCAAGAGAAGGAACAGGGTGGTTTTTAGTCAGTAAGAGACTGACACTCCCTCCCGCCTCACCCAGGCGGGAGCTTAAAAAAATACACTCTGGAAAAGTAAGGTGAGATACAGAAAGAAGCTTATGTTCCTCAAATAATGTGTAGTCGTTTAATTATCAAGATGAATCAATCAACTGAAGGACTCGTCGACGTCAAAATTTTACATGGTGGCAAGGGACGCGTTGTGTTCATACTGGTGGAGGCAGATCGTCCATCTCCTGGATACAATACTTAGATATAACTTGCTGTTGCTCGCGACTTCCTCTGCGTAGAATATAATTTTTGGAATATAACTCGTTTTTGGTTAAAATTTTTCAAAATAAAAGTAGCCTATGTTAACCTTAGTGCATCAGCTACCTGATATTTGAGTCGGAATGTTACTCAAAATTAGCGTGCTCAAATGAGAGAGACAGAGAGAGAAGAAAATTAAATGTATGGGTATGACACTGACAAGTGTCAAAATTTACGTCAATTCAATATAATTTGGTTTTCTATTCTACATGTAGACAAGTGCTAAGTGGCATTTGGCTACAGCTGCTGGCATGCTTGCGAATCGGTAGGCGTTCGAATTTTTTAATATTTTTGTGAATGATCAATAGAACGCTTTTTAAAATGTGGAAAATATGTAAGTATTACATTGATTTGGTTTTATATACTTTACTGATGGGTAGGTATTATTTATGAAACAAAATGTTTTTTTCTCAAATAAAATAAAATAGCAATTACCTCAATTCGGTAATCATCTTCCTGCTGACAGTTGTCTTAAAAGGGGGACAAAATATCACAATAAACAGGTTTATATAGCAGTTCTGACGTATAACATGTTATTTAACCTTTTTTAATGTCAAACAGATTTTCTAGGAAAATGAGACGTTTTACGTATTAAGCTTTTGAAAAGTACCTATTACCGGTCGAGTTGTTCGGTGGTACAAGTAATACGGGTATGCAAATACTTGTTTACAAAATGTTCGACGTGACACCGTACACGCAACGTGACTATACACCCCAGCTGGCCGTAGTAGCGTAAAATTATATTATTTAGAACAAAAAAACTATTTTTTACATAACTTAGAAATTGACTGCCTCGTTGGCCGAGTGCCGGGCATGCGGTCTCGGGTTCGATTCCCGCGTCGGGCAAATTATAACTGGGTTTTAAAACAAAATCTCAGTAGAAGCACATACGAATATATATAGTAGCGCCTAGCTTCACTGACAGACAGACAGACGGATAATACAATTAATTGAAATAAATGCTTTGAATTTGAATTTGAAGGGCATATTAAAGCTTACCTACTACTAAAATATTAAAGTTTAAACAAGTAGTAAGCATGTCTTTTATTCAAAAATTAAATATGAGTTGTCGGATAGTTGCAGCAATCAGCTAATACATGGACATAATAAATATAATGTCCTGGTCTAACTAGTCTCTTCATTTGCAACCAATGAAGACTTTTTTTTAAAGGGTGAAAATCATCGAATGACTGCTCCCGCCTTGGTGAGGCGGGAGGGAGTGTCAGACTCTTACTGACTAAAAACCACCCCGTTCCTTCTCCTGCACGTCGAGCCGTAGCCCCGGGAACCCTACCTATGTGTGTACTTTAGTACCGACAAAGTTCGGATTTAATAATCAAATAAAGTTAAGTGTTCATAATTATAACATGGAACAGAATTCAAATTTCCCACGTCAAAAGTATGTTTGCTTCAAAGGTTGGTAAAACAAGAATGGCCGGAAATCATGCCCTTTGTGATTCGCAAGTCGAGTCAAGTGACGCTTCAACCGACGCTTTGTACATTACGACACCATGTTTTTTTGTAAATATATTCCATTTTTTAACCGAACCTGTTTTTATGGAGTACAGCACATATTTCAACGAGTTTATTGGTTTGTGTCTTCATTTTCGCGAGGACCCATTCGATGCAAGTGATGAGTTGTCGTTTGGCGTCAAGAGTTAAAGGGGAGCTGTAGACGTCTTTGAGATGATGACGAAACATAATGAGTAGTATAAAGTACTTCCAAATGTAGAAGGCGAATCAATTATTTTGATAAGTCACATGTTCATTCTCTAGTAATTAATGTTCCAGACATACAGTTCGTATGTGTCGTGGTGGCCCGGAGGTTTAAGACGCCCGCTTCTCATGCATGAGGATGCAGGTTCGAAACCTACCAACGGCAAGTACCAATGTGACTTTTTCCGAGTTATATGTACTTTCTAAGATTATTTAGACACCACTGACAAACGGTGAAGAAAAAACATCGTGAGGAAACCTGGACTTATAATTTCTAATTATAAGTTTGAAATGGCCAACCCGCATTGAGCAAGCGTGGTGATTAATGCTCAAACCTTCTCCGTGTGAGAAGAGGCTTTGCTCAGCAGTGGGTATTTATAGACTGTTGATGTTGATGAATGTTCCAGAAGAGTACATAAGTTTAATTGAAATTGTGGGTTAGTAACATGGTTTGTTACGTAATTCAATACATCGTGGACAATCAACATAAGTATAGTAGTAATACGTATGTACTTCCTTCTCACCTTACACGTGGTCGTGAGTATAAATGATAATCAATTCAATATCAATGTAATATTTATATTAACATATAAAATCCTAGTACTGATGATGACTAACTGAGTAACGAACACACATACAATGTAGACTTGAAATCACTGCTTGTAGAGAGTTGAAGTTTAGAAGATAGAGGAACATTATGACGATA